CTACTTCTAAGTTATTCAATACTTCCCATATCTTGCTGCGGGGAATAGAGTCGTACGCTTTCTCCAAATCACTAAATGCTAGATGGACTTCTTGATCTACTGCTATCTTTTTTTCCATCACCTGCTGCAGGACAAAAAGGTTATCTATGCCAGATTTCCCCGGTGTGAATCCGCTTTGGTCTTCTGAGATTTTGTCACCAATACTGTCCCTGAGCCTACCCTGTAGCACCTTTCCAAAAAGTCGAAATGTCAAGGTATGGGAATACCCATTGGGGACAACACACTATTTACCCTGAACTTTGCAGACGATCAGGTCGTGATTGCGCAGGACTCATACGATCTAGAGTTCATGACTAAGAGGCTTTATCAAGAATACAACAAATGGGGACTTCAGGTTAGTCTAAAGAAGACCGAATACTTAGCTGTCAATTCCAACGCTTGTTTTGAAGTCTTCTTTAATGATAACGTCTAGATTCAACAAGTAGTCAAATTTAAATACCTGGGTGCTACTATCAACAACGAGGGTTTGGGCAAAGAAGAAATACAAACCCGAATTCAGAAGAGCAAACAAGTTATTGGATGTCTTAACAGCCTCTGGTGGGACCGAAACTTATCTGCAACAACTAAAAAGAGACTTGGAAGAACATTGGTGGAGTCAGTTCTTTGCTATGGTTCAGAGCTGTGGACTCTGAGTGCAGACGCGAAGCGCAAAATCCAAGTTGTTGAAATGGACTACCTTAGAAGAAGTGCAGGTATATCTAGGATGGAAGATCGGAGGAGACAGTACTGGATCGAATCGAAAAATCCAGCTTAAAATGGTTTGGACATGTTCTGCGTATGCCGGAGAACAGGTGGCCAAAAAGAGTTTTTCAATGGGCTCCCCAGAGCAGAAGAAAGAGAGGTAGACCTAGAAAATCCTGGAACGGAACGGTTACGGAAGCAATGGAAGCTCGTAACCTAGAAGCTGATGACGCTCTAAATCGAGATTTGTGGCGTAGGGTAACGGAAAGGCAGCAATAGGCTGTAGTTGGAAATGAGTATTAAATACTTAAAACAAATCCTGTTTATATATATATATATATATATATATATATATATATATATATATATATATATATATATATAATATATATATATATATATATATATATATATATATATATATAGATTGTTTTTAGAGCAACAAATGTACAGTACGTCTGCTGGATCTGTGTCTATGAAAGGAATGCGGACAAAAAACATTTAAATAAACAGCAATATATTTTATACGTCGACTTAACGAATACGTCACCGCAAATCGCTCCGCCGACTCATTTTATTGGCTACTTGCAAATTTGTCGAATTTTTATTGATGGGACGCGTCGTTTATTTTTTACGAAAAACATCGAGGGAATATCGTTTCCCCTCTCACGGATACCCCGTAGCTACAGAACGGACAGACGTACTGTACAATATGTACAGGCTCTGGTACAGGTGCTAAAAACGACAATGTTACTAGCCCATTTTTATACAAAAAGAAAACTATTTAAATTTTTATAAAAGTGTATTAATAACATACTAAATGTAATTAATTACATACTTAATTGTGGTAGTTGATAAATTACTCTATACAAATGTGGATTTCAATCAGAAATCAATATAATAATAAAAGTTATGAAAATGAACGTCTCTGTTGTTATAAATAAGCATTCGTCAAAAAATGAAATAAAATTTTTAAGGTGTTACTTTTTACCACACTGTCTAATACACATACAAAATTCGGTTTGTATTTGGAGCAAATATGATTAATCAACGCAAACAGCCAATTAATGTAAGTAGTTTGAATATTAAATATGCAATGACTACACCTACCTAGGAGTGATATTCGATACAACAGCTAAAGATGACAAAGAAATTAAAAAACTATCACAAGCTAGAAGAACAATTGGCTGTCTAAATGGAGTATTTTACTCCATTTAGACAGATACTAAATGGAGTAATGAAATAGGGAAAAAACGGAAGATCAATATATACGAGACCCTGGTAAAGAGCAGTCTACTATATGGCGCAGAGACTTGGCAAATAACGGAAGCCAACCGAAGAAAACTGGAAGCGGTAGAAATGGATGCCTATAGAAGAACCTTAGGAATTTTCCGAAGAGATAGAGGCCGAAACGAAGAAATCCGACAGAAAATAGGAATAGAGGGATCTTTGGCAACCGACATCGAACGCCAACAACTTATGTAGTACGGGCATGTCCAGAGGATGGATGACACCCGACTTCCAAAACAAATTATGCAATGGATACCCCAACATCGAAGAAAACGTGGAAGACCTAAGAAGACTTGGAAGGAGTGTGTCACAAGAGCAATGAGTGCCAGAAATCTAAACGAGGGACAATGGAACGATCGGAAGACGTGGAAGTTAGGCACCGGACAACGTCGTAAGACGTTCTAGACCGATATATATATAGTTTGAATATTGGAATATTTTTTTTTCTCTTTGACAAAAATATTTAAACAGTTATCACTATATCGACAATATTAGTATATGTAACTCCTTAAAAATTTGTCTTTAAAAATAATCTAAAATATTGCATGGGTATATTGATAAAAATGCGGTCTAAATTATAAGAAAATGCATTTTCTACGAAAACTTGAAGAGATAGGTAAAAAATGGTATAATACAATTTGAAAGACAGTTAAATTGTGCATCTGAATCTCATAAAATATACAGGGTTGTTCCATTTAAATTAAACAAGTTTAAAGCTAGTAATTATTTAAAATAAATTTTTAGACACTCTGTATAAGGTAGTATAATTTTTATTATTGCAACACAAAATTTAGTAAATAGACATACTTCAGTACGATATTTCGTTTTAAAAACTTAAATACGTCTAGAGAAATGAAGCATTAAAATTATTTTTTCTCTTTCACACTGAATTTTAATGAATATTATATTTTTTTCCTATAGACTTTATTATCAATGATTTTTTTTTCTATTACACACACCGGAAAAATCTAGGGATATTACAGTTTTATCCAGCCATCGTCAGTAATTTTATTATTTGCATTTCTGATATAATAAAATTAAAATAAACAAATAGTTTACAGGACGTATTGGAAATAAAAATGCGAAATTTACCGAATTTTTCAAATTTACCTAGATTTTTATTGAACTCAAAAAAATACACACATTTTTTTTATTCTAAACTGTGAATTAAAAAAAAAAGATAAAACCATTTTTACCTAATAAAGGGTATGGCCTCCTCTACTGTTCATTACAGCCCTACATCGTCTCTCCATGCTCCTGATCAGATTGTCGATCTCTTCTTGAGGTACAGCCTGCCACGCTGCATTCACTGCCCGAACCAGATCCCTACGAGTTTCACGAGGCATACCCGCATTCTCAAAATTCTTCTTTGGACCGCGTCCCATACGTGCTCGATGGGGTTGAGGTCAGGAGATTGTGCCGGCTAGGGTAAGATGTTTTCATGCATTGTCATGCATGAGAATGAAGTTTCTCCCAAAATCATTGGCATATGGTAACACGATAGGCTCAAGAATTAAATCACGATATGTGATTACTGTTAGAAACCTTTCAAGAAAAACGAGATCGGTTTTTCGGCCTAACTGGACTCCTCCCCAGACCATAACTGTTCCACCTTGATAAGGGTGCACTTTCTGAACATGATACAACCGAATAAGATTTCCCGGCTCTCTCCATACCCTAAGCCTTCTCGAATCCCGATGAATTCCAGAGCGTGACTCATCCGTGAAGAGAACATTGGCCCATTGTTCGTTCGACCACTGAACATGATCTTGAGCCCACAAATATCGTACCAGATATCGTACCTCTCGATTTCCTCTCGTTAAGGGTTGAGCTCTCCAGGGGCGTCTGCTTCTTAAGTTGACCTCTCTTAATCTATTGCGAACAGTGTCAGGACTAACGGTTACATTATGTCTTTCCTGGAGAATTAAACTAAGCTCTGGTGCTGTAAGAGTCGGTCATTAGTAGGCGTCGAGCATTTAATTGTAAAAAATGATCTTACTGAGGGGTAGTAATGCGATGTCGCCCTGTGTGCCTTTCAGCAACACCACCACTTTCACGGTAGCGTGCACTTAATCGCGATATTAAACTTTGCGTTGTATTTAATACATATAATTATTATTTGAATTTTAATTTTAAAATTTAATACATTATTTGTACTTAGCATTTCATCTCTGTTAAGATGTCTACGCTCCATAATGTCGTTTAATACTAAACAGAGTTATTTGAATGAATTCTGGCCAGTTATCATAAAAACATAGTCAGTACAGGTTAAATTCGAACAATTGATGCCAGGTGCTTTTTATACATTTGACAAAAAATGCACAAACATTTCTGCAAATATCTCAAATTTAGAAATAACTAGTCTGACTACTTCGTTTCAATCGAAGTAAAAAGAATCGGCCTACAAATATGTGGTTGTTTATTCAAAACATTTATTTTTAACTTTAATAAAATGATATCCCCAGTGTGTGTAATATTAATTAACATTATTAAAACACTCCAACAATAATAAACACGGGGAGGGACAAAATAAAATATTTATATAATCTCTATCCGTACACAAAACAATCAAAACATATTTTTTAAGATTATTATCTAATTTTAAAAAATCGCCAATTTTTTTACATAGGGTGACATCTAGCGGCAAAATCTGAAACACATTAATTAAAAACTACAAACATGCAATTCGTATATTGTTGCTCTTTAATCTCGTAGATGATTATTATAGGTAATTTGTTTTATTTTTTTTTCTTAAAATTTAATTTGATTTGTAGTTTTAATTAAGAAAATCGAAAAAATTGGCACACAAAACCAAACAGTGCTGCCAAATGTATTCATAGTCACGTTTATTATTAAAGAATAGATGGAAATAATTGAATAAATCTATGAACAGTATTAATTGAACAAACAAATAATGCGAATCGATAAAATTAATCTCTTCCATAGAAAATTAAGTGGATTATAATATTTGGTTTCCTCCTAGGTTTTAGTTGGCAACGTTGTGAATCTCTCGCGTTGTTGATGGCGTTCATGTGGTGCACTGTTGTCAATTTTTGTTGTGTTATCATAGTTTAATGAAGAAATTTTGATTTTTTTTGGACATATTAGCATTGTACGAGTGAGTTTCAATGTTGTGAAGTAATATATTAAGTTGTGCAAGACTTTCAAATGGAAATATCCCTATAGTTTCGTACGAACTCCAAGCTAAAGTAATGTAAAAGATTGCTAGCGAGACGTCGTGTCAACGCCACACATTTCGACTAGTGGCGGTAAATTCGAAAAATTTAAATCCAAAATTTTAAAAGGTATGTTCTTTAAATATTAAAGTTTAGTATATTTCGTGTATTTTTTTGATGATAATGTACAGTAATGTATTAACGTATATTGTGATTTAGAGGTAGGTGTTATTAACTAACACAATGGAAGGTGCAGAATCTAGAGAATTACTTGGAAATGTTGTAATAACTACCAGCGAAGGGGCCGACGGCCACCAATATATTCGTCTCCCAGAAAACTCACAGATCATAAGCTCGGACTTGTTGCAAAACTCAAATGGCCTTGTTGTTGATTTAGGTGGTAGCGATTTCATCCCAGTCACTTACAGGTAATTTATCGACTTTTATTCAACTCTCATTTTTTGAGAATGTTTCCTCTATTACAACGCTACTCACATTGTTTGTTTTTAGCTCCGACGATATACTTTCACAAGAACTAACAGAAGAGGATAGAAACTTAGCTGCTGCCTTAGTTGCCGTTCAGCTGAGTCAGCAACAAAAGCAACAGCAACTTCAGGATGCTACTTTACCACCTTTAATAGGTATTTTAGTCTCTCATTTGTGTTATTTGGATTAAAGTCGTTATTATTTAAACAGGCAATAAAATGCTGGAAGAACATCAACAGCTAATTCTCACCCAAGATAAATCTGGAAATGGACAATATTTAAAAATTGTAAATACAGACAATTTATACATTGACCAGCAGGGTGTACATAAAATTGTAGAAAATGTTAGAATTATTGATGAATCAGACCATATTCAACATGTTGTCGAGGATTCAGCGCATGAGAATAAGATAGAAATTATTGAAAAATCACTTGAAGATGAAAAAATTGAATCCGATGGGGAATCATTGAGGTATTTGTGATGTTAATGTTGTTTGTACAGATATATCTAAATACATTTGTTGTAGGAATGACCACCGGTCATCAAAGAAGTCCCTGCCTCATAAGAAACGTATCAGTAGAAAATTACGCAAGAACAGTGCTGTTAATTTGAAAAAATATGCCTGTTCCTTTTGCACTCAGACTTTTACAGATACTGATGAATACCAAGAACACGAAGGCAGTTGTCAAGCTGCAAAATTACCAGAAGTATCTCCGTTTTCTTGTCAACTGTGCAATACACCATTTGCAGACCAATTGAAGTAAGTACACATGGGTAAAATGTATGTATCGAAATCATGTATAATTATTTTTGTTTAGATTCTTTGAACATTTAAAGAAACATTACGAGCCTGGTGGTCTGGGTATGACAGTGGAACCGCCTGCACCAACCCCGGTGGTAGAGGAGAAGAAAAAGAAATCTTCTCCGGCTCCAAAGCAAGAGAAGAAGCATGTGGTTGAGGAGAAGGAGCCACAAGAAACACTGTTAACTAGCTTGCTCAGTTTGCAGTGCATTGAATGTAATAAAACGTTTAGGAGGCAGAAAACATTTGAGGCTCACATGAGGGATGTTCACACTAACAAACCAGATTTGGAAGATGAATTTTCGGATACAGAGGATATGATGGCAGGTACTCCTAATGCTTAGGTCTAATGTAGGGATAGGGATAATTAAGATGTTTGGAACAAAATTTTACTTTAATGAAAATAATCAAAAGATTATAGTAAAATAAACTTTTGTGACGTTTGAAAAAAAATACTTTTTTACATATTCTAAAGTGGGGTTAGAGTCCTATGTCTATGTGTCAAGTTTAACAAATATACAGGGTCGTTCAATATATCGTGTGATACATCAAAACATGGGACATATTTAGGAAATTTCATGTTAATTTTGAAAAAGTCAAATATTATCTCTCCAGATAATTTTATGCAAAAGTTTTATTAGACTTATTTACTGTTACTAAAAAACTTTCGTGTAGAATTTCGATTTATTTGGAGTAGGTATTTAAATGTTATTTGCAAAAATAATACGGCCCAGAGAAATCCACAATTAAAATACCAACAAAAACGTGATTTTTGGTAATTGTAATATTCAGTGTCACATTTTGTTGACAAGACCATAGACTAATGTCATGTACTAAAGATAGATTGGACACTGATATAAAACAGTCCTTCACTTAGAGCCACCTGGTGATCCGGAAGAAACTAATGAAGAGTTTTGGCATGACACAATTTTAGCGTTTGGTTATTTATTAACGCTAACTAAAACGGTAACGTTATTCAAGCACAAAATTATTCCTTGTAAAATATAAAATAATAAATATAGACTTGTTTACTATATCTTATGTTTTATTAAATCATTAGAAGTGTAACATATTCAAAACTAAAAATAAAATTATGAATACATACATTTTAAACACCAACAATAGAGCAAATAACGGCTATTTTTTTTTATTTAAGAAATAAATTATAATATAGTAAAAATATTATAGACTACTTATTTACTGTTACTAAAAATACTATTTTACCAACTATGTACTTACTTATTTATGATTGAACATTTTTTTATTTCGTTCATATTATTTGTTATCATTTATATGTTTAAAAAAATGTCTTTAATAAAAAAGTTTAGTATCTAACACGAAAATGGTGATCGACCGTAAATATCAAAATGCACAAACTAATAAAAACACAAACTATAAACACAAATCACCGAACTTTCCGGCAAATCAGGAATATCTGAATTAATAATAATTATTTAAAAATGATTTAAAAATAACGTGACGGATCACCAACATTTTGACAACTAGATCAAAGCTAGACCATAGATGATAGTAAATATAGAGGCTGTCATGTTATCTTCGTATATAAATTAGAAACCTGTACTTTTTTTCATGTCTTTTGCGCCGTCTGGCGATGCGGAAGAAACTAAATTTGTAGTCCCATAAAATTACTATTGAGTGACTAGGGCCTGGACAAGACTTTGTTAGATTTAGAATGGGTGGTTAATTTTTTTCTGAATAGGCTACTATTACACTATCAAATTTCTTTAGCAAAGAATTTGACAGTGTAATATGTGTGATTTTATAAAATATTGTATATTAACACTGTCAAATTTTACTTTACAGAAGAAAAATCGGTCATCGGTTCACAGTTTTCACCCTTCCCGTACTTTTCCTTGATTTTTGCGAAAGTTAAATGTTACAGCACTTAGTCAAACAAAGACACCTAAAATCTCATTCAAATCGGAATACAGGTTCTTAAAATATCTAAAAAAATGTGTTTATTTTTAAAAGTTTGATGCCCTCTAACGGACAAACGAAGCACTTTTGTATAGAGGTAAATTGTGTCCAATGAACTTATTTTGAATCCAAAAATACATAGTAGTTTTGTATCCATGGAAATTAGACACCCTGTATATCAGTTAATATTTTTCGGAAATTTAATAAAAAAATCTACTATAAGTGGCAAAATAATTATTAATTTGGATCAGGTTGAATAAGAAATACAATATAATGTGTTTTAAGGTATCAATGTTATGGTCGATAATGATAGCACTATGGGCGACAATAATGAGGACGACAGTAAAGCATGGTATCAAGAGGAAGAACTACATCAGACAGAAAAAGACCTAGAAGAACTGGAAAATAAAGACGACCATATTTGTCACCTTTGCAAGCAACCTTTTGCCCTAAGAGCAATCCTTCTACAACATTTAGTAACGTGTAGACTGGCCACAGGAAATTCAGGTAATTTTCTGAAAAGCATTAGTGATTTAGTATTTTTAATTATAACCAATCGTAGATCCAACGCCTGCTGTAATTGTGAGAAAGAAAAACAAAAAAGTGAAGGAGAAGCTAAATTGTGAGTTGTGTGACAGAGTGTTTAAACATAGGAACTCTTTGGTTTACCATATGAGGAGTCACAGCGGTATCAGGCCACATCAGTGCGACTCTTGTGGTAAAAGCTTCTTTGCTTCAAGTGCACTCAAAGGTATTTTTTTTTAATTTTTTACTTTTTCAGTTTTATCTATTAACTCTTTTAAATATTTTTATAAGTAATTTAGGTAAATAAAAACTATATGATTAGCCAACAATTTCTGTCTGGTCCACCGGGTGCGTCTCAAAAGTGGCTCACCCCCTATAACTTTTTTTATTTTTTCAGATAAAACAACGAGATTTGGTATGTTAGTATATGACATAAATTGAGATTGATTGACGTATTCAGTTGTTTTCGGTCACTTCCGGTTTCACCGGAAATGACTACAACTTTTGATTTTTAAATGGCACCCTCGGTATTTTTTTACTTTATTCGATAGAAAATGACATTCTGAATCGAATGACATATCATATGTCAATTTTTGACATAGTCACTCAAAAACGAATTCTATTTTACATTTCAATCTAGAGTAGCTGTGTTAAAAACATTAATTTTTAATCAAAGAGCCTTGGAAAAATAGATTTGATTGTCTAATGTTTTTAGTGTTTAGTCCTGGCCAGTTAAAAGATGCCCAAATCTTAGTTTTAATCATATCTCAATTTTTTTAAATGGAACGAGGGTGGTTCATTAGCATATTTGGAAAAAGCATTTTTTTACGAATAATTTGATACCACACACTTGGTATTTTGAGTCAAATTGTCGTTATGAACCGCATGTTACAATTTCAAATAAACCATATGCCAAAATATCGAATGTTGACATATGATATGTCATTCGATTTAGCACTGTAGCGCTAATAACGCATAAATCTAAAAAATGAATAAAAGAATAAAAAAATAAGAGAATAAAAGTAACATAACCAAACATTACCCAAAAAAGCTTTGTTTTTATTTTTTAGAATATAAAACAATTATTTTTATATATTAGAGGCCCAGTATATTGCTGCTGAATAAAAATCGATAATTTATTTCATGTGACATGAAAATAAAATTTGATTTTTTTTAAACCCGCGCCTTCACATCAAATATTTATCTCTTTTGAATCATTTCCTGTTCCAAAAATTTTTGGCGCATATTTTAACACGTTAAGCCTCGGGTGGCATTTCACTGGTACCTTTTAGTGTACCCCTGGGACCGCGTGATATCACAATTATGCCACACAGTAATATTTGATTTCGGACGCCGAGGCATCAAGGCGATTGCACGCTGCTGTGTAATGTAGTCGGTTTTGAAAATCTGGCGGTCCAAAGGGTACATGCATGTTAGCGGGTTGGGGAAATTTTAGAACCTATAAATTTTATCGCATTGTAAAACAGACAATCATTTTTTAGCAGTTTTTGTTATATATCATTAAAAATACAGTACAACTAAAAACTAATTAGGATAAATATATTTTAAACATTTTTGGTAGCTGAAAACACTTCAAAAAAGCAAGAAATACAGACACTGGTTTTACAAACGGAATACAGGTATTTTGATCGTGGCGTTTTATTTTGTGCTTCTGCCCTACCCAGTTCTTGCTTGATTCTTGGGTAGCAAACAACACATCTGTTCTTTTTGCCTTCTCTCAAACGATGATTATTACTACCTATTATATTTTCTATATCTATATTTTCCAGGCTATTTGTTATTGTATTGTACAAGGTACTCACGGTCCAAATAAGAATATTTCATCCTTAGGACGGGGTGGCATCAACGCGATGACTCAAAAATAAACAAAAAAAACCTTGAAAATGCCTTTTTCGGCGTATATTAAACCTTACCTACACATGTATAGACCAAATATAAAGGTCTGAAGCAGAAAAAAAACCGGTCCCAACAAAACATTTTTTTTAGTATCACGCCGGTGCTCAACGTGTTAAATTTTAGGTTTTTGCTTCAGTAGCGCCATCTTAAGTCTTCCCTTTTTTATGACCATTTTCTAATGCACAAAGATATTTCTCCTTACCTCTACACTCTATAGTTTTGATATCAATCAAAACGATCTCAATATTAACTATGTAATTTATGGTTGACGTTAAATTATTGAATTTAAGTTTTTGATTGATTTTTTTATTTGTTTAGTTCATTTAAGGCTGCATTCCGGCGATAAGCCTTACGATTGCGAACACTGCGGACGCAAATTCAGACAGTGGGGCGATTTGAAATATCACATAACCTCAATCCATTCGACGGAGAAGAACTACCAATGCGAATATTGCGGCAAGGAATTTGCCAGGAAATATTCGTTAGTGGTTCATAGAAGAATACATACAGGTATGTAAAAGTGATCATAAGGTAATTTTTAATAATAAATTATCTAAACTATGGGTTTATTATGAAACACAAATTAGCGACTTGTAGTATATTGTTTCTTGTATAAGCGTTTGTAAAGCTTTCATTAATACAAAGAAACTGCTCTTTTTTTGTGAGTAAATAATTAGTACGATATTAAATACCGATTTGGTCATTTTACAAGTGTGGTCTGGATTTACACGTATAAGACAGAATAATATAAATTACCAGTTGACACACAGAGAGACATAATCAAAAGCGGCATACAGTGTTGCCGGTTTGTAGGAAAATTTGTGTAGAAAGAAAAAACTATTTTAAAAACTTTCATGTATACTACTGAAATAAAGATAATATATCTAAGCTTAAATATAATCTATTACATCTGTAGTAAAATGAGTAACTAATTGTGAAAAATAAGGTTCCAACCCTAGATGCAACATTTTGTGCGGTTTGAACTTTTGATGCAAAATCCGGCAATACCGCATAGAAGAAACATATCAACCCAACTTTTATCTCTTTTTAATACATTTGATTAATTTTCCATTAAGCTGTCTACATCACTGTTTTACACGATAAAATCCAGACCACACTTCTAAAATGACAAAATCTGTATATTACCAAATTAATTGAAGAGGTTATAGGCTTGGTGCATTCTCCGCCGGTGCTGTCACCATCGGAGAATATCTTAAACAACCGGCATATACAAATACACGGGTTTAAATAGATATATTTTATATAGATATTTATCTGCCAACCCCGAGCTCAGAACTAGTTAAGGGCTCAATACTGTACAATGCCAAGAAAATGTACAATGATTTGCCTTCGAATATCAAGTCACTTTCATTCTTTCCCGCATTTCGCAAAGCTCTGAAATCATACTTACTGGAGAGAGCCCTATATATGCGATAAACGACTTTTTTGTTGATGTTTAATCATGAACAATTTTGAATTTTAAAATTTTGATCATCTCACACTGGTTAAAGGTCTAGTATTTAATATTTTATAACTCTTGATTTTATTATATATAACATGATTTTATTCATTTACAGTTTTCCTTTTGTAAAATTTTCTTGATATGCCTGTGTTCTGCAATGTCCATATATGTTTTATTTTTAATTTTATGACGTAAATTTTTTTGAATTGATTTGTATTGTATGACTTTTTTTTATTATTTGTATATTTATTTTTGTGCTTTTTTGTTTTGTGAATGCTTTGTCGATGAAGCTATTTTGGCTATTTATACAATAAAGCGTTGTTTTTTTTTATAGCGAGTATACGAAAAATTTATTATTTAATTATTCCAAAAGTTTTAGAAATTATATTTTGTGAAAATTCTAAAAATAAAATAAAAAAGTAAATATTCTGATATCTTCAGAAGTTCTAACTTTTATTATAATTTATTATTGAAGCTAATAAAGCTTTTTAAACGAGTTCAACTACGGTAGCGAGCATAGTTTTACGTCCCGATTTTGCTAGCATAGACATAATGAGCTATTTCAGTTATAACGATTTTTTTTAAAGGTACATAAGTATTTTAAGCAAAGTACAGGGTGGGCCAAATTCGACTCTTTTAAATGGAAACACCCTTTTCTATAGGAGATAGACAAAAACTAATATCGGTGTCTGGGGCTCAATTTTTGTCAAAAACATGATGGTGAAAACCGCATATCGATATCTGTTACCGTTTCGGAGTGTTTCTCAAAAATATGCATTTTTAACAAATTGCTGTAACTTTTTTGCTATGGAAAATTTTGTATTTTTTTTGAAAATTTGAAAACATTTCCAAAGCACCTTTTTACGTAGATTTTAATGGTTTAAGTATAATTTTTTTAAAATTAATAATTTAAGAATTATCAACAGAAAATTTGATTTTCTATATGGGACACCCTGTATATTTTTAATTTATTGAAAATAATTTAAAATTACCTTTCCAAAAATATAACACACTTGATATTTTGCTCGATTCTTCTTCGAGATATAGAGTATATAAAAATTCGCCCGCTTTAAATAAGTAGGCTTTGAACGGCACCGGCTGTAATGCAAAAAAATTCTAGCTGTGAGCATCAGTTAAAACGAAAATAATATTTGCTATGAGAGATGCAGAATTTTAGAACAATTTAAATATATATTTAACCAACATCAACACATTTAAACTAAATCTAATAACAATAAAAATAAACCAAAACATGAGATTTTGCTACAGGTGTTTGCTACGACATATCGACCGTCTTCTGTTATAGACAGACGGGGCAGTTTTTGAACATTTTTCGCGGAATTTATTAACTCAGTGGGGGTGAAAGATACCCTCTCATAACTGCTAAGTATTTCTAATTCTTGTCTAGATTATACGGAAGAACAAGGAACCTTTATTCTTCCGCAAATATATCCATAGGATTAGATCCATGGGCACTAAGTCAGGCGGCCTCGACGGCCAACGGCTAGGATCTTGGTTAGCTATTAAATTATTCTTGAACTTGGCTGCAAAAATTTGCTGATAACTTCAACGTTCAGAGGCGGTGCGTGGTCTTACTGGAAAAATATGTTTTCGAGTTCCATTAGGAGCAGATCATCAATAAGGGATCCAAAGCCTACTAGTTAAAAGTGGCAAACTTTTAAAAATTCTATATTTCGAAGGGGATTATAACAAAATATCAAGTGTGCTATATTGTTGGAGAGGTAATTTTAAATTCTTTTCAGTTAATTAAAAATATAGAGGGTGTTCCAAATAAAAAATCAATTTTTCTGTTGATAACTATTAAATTATTAATTTAAAAAAAATATACTTAAACCATTAAATTCTACGTAAAAAGGTGCTTTGGAAATGTTTTCATAGAAATACAAAATTTTCCATAGCAAAAAAGTTACAGCGATTTGTTAAAAATGTACATTTTTGAAAAACACCCTTAACTCCGAAACGGTAACATATATTGATGTGCGGTTTTCACCATCATGTTTTTGATGAAAATTGAGCTCCAGACACCAATATTAGTTTTCGTCTATCTCCTATAGAAAAGGGTGTTTCCATTTAAAAGTGTCGAATTTGACCCACCCTGTACATAAGTAATTTAAGCACTAGTTGATTATATCTATTTAATTTTTTGATTATGTAATGGGCACTTTGTTTACGCACTTGTTTCGTCCAACTGCTTGAATCCATTTTTGCTTTTGATTAAATCGGTGTGAGAAGTTGTGAAGCTATATACACAAATCAAACGCCCAGTTCGGGAATTTATATTTCGACTAACTATTAACACTAAGTACTGCAACTTGCAAATTAAAACAAAGAATCAGTAGCTAAATCTATATAATAGAGGTATAATAGTATATTGGGGAATCCCCGAACACGATAGAAGCTTCCAGAAGAATGATTCTGAAGATCGGCGAATGTTCGCGAACATTCCCTCATTACTAATAGGATTGTTCTAAGTATTTACAGTGTGTTTTTCTTTCAGGCGAACGTAACTACAAATGCGAGTACTGCGGTAAGACATTTAGAGCCTCCTCCTATTTGCAAAATCACAGGAAGATCCATACGGGAGAAAAACCTCATAATTGTTCCATATGTTCGAAACCATTCAGGGTGCGATCCGATATGAAACGACACGAGAAAACTCACGGAAAGATGGGATCTACCAGGTAAAATTTTAGATTTTTGGATAGTATTACTCTTTGAGGTTAAGGAAAAATATAAATTTCTTCAAAAAAATTTCTGGCTATTACGCCACTGTGAGAAAATCTACAAAATAAAATAGTTGTTTAATAGCCATATACATATTACTAACCTCTACTTTTTTGAAGAGATGAATATATCTCTATACTGTAGGGTGTCCGTTATTTCCCAAGTTAATTTTTTTTGTTGCCGCGCTCTGAAATTTTAGTTTTTGCTCTAAAAAAAAATCCATCGTAAACAAGCTCTCAAGGCGGAACTCAAGAACTTGGAAGATTCCATCCGCAACCTGGAATGGAAATCTTGCAATGGTCTAAGACACTCGAAGAAGTTTCTGAGGGCTTATGATCAAGAAAAATCACAGATCTTCCTGGGTCTGAGTAAGAACAATCTTCGGATTGTCACGGGGTTTTTAACAGGACACTGTCTCCTCAATGAACACCTCAATAGATTGAAACTAAGAAGAAACGGCGAATGCAGATTCTGTGGGGAAGATGGTGAAACACCAGTAAACCTCATCACTGAGTGCGCCGAGACGACAACCATTCGTGCCATGAACTTTGGTACGACTGATATTGGAGATGGAGAACTACCCTCTATAAAACCGTCCCAGATACTGGCTTTTGTCAAAGCCCTGGGACTGTATGATGAGTTATGATTCAAGAAAGGGGGACACAATGGATCTGTAAGGTCGAAGTGATTAACCCCCCTCCCACTCATTCTAAAAAAAAAATTCTAAACAAGCTCTTAATTTTTAATTTAAACCGTGCCGGAATCATGATACTTTTTGCATTTAAATAACATGGGATTTTCTGACCTTTTGCGTTTAATTTGTTATCTCCAAAGCAAATGAATTTACAGCGTATTTACGTATTACATATACAAAATTTTACGCTCTACAAAAAAGGTCTCTTTGGTTTTTTCCATAAAAACATTCCTTTAAAAGTTATTCGCGGTCAAAGTTATGCACTGAAAGGCAATGAAACAATAACCTTACATTATAGTTTTGATCAATTGATCATAGATGGCGCAATATTAGTTTTCCATATTAAAGTTGGTATAGAAATATTGTTTTATTGAAAAAAGTATGGCTCTAGATCCTTTTTAGTCAAAATCAAAAGGTGCAATTTGAATTTGCATTGAAAAGAATGAATGTGAATCATAGAAAAAATTGATTATAAACTATGTGCATAACTTTGACCGCGAATAACTTTTAAAGGAATGTTATATATAATATGTTTTTATGGAAAAAACCAAAGAGACCTTTTTTGTAGAGCGTAAAATTTTGTATTAGAATATGTCGAATTTGTTGAAGCTCTAGGTTCATTTGCTTTGGAGATAAAAAATTAAATGCAAAAGATCAGAAAACCTCATGTTATTTAAATGGGAAAAGTATCAAGATTCCGGCACGGTTTAAATTAAAAATTAATAGCTTGTGTACGTCGGATAATTTTTTTAGAGCAAAAACTAAAATTTCAGAGGACGGCAGCAAAAAAAATCAACTTGGGAATTAACAGACACTCTACTATACCGCCACAGAGGTATAGACAAAGCTAATGGCTATCTATCCTATTGCAGAGGAACGGCTGCCAAAGTTCAGTCGCAAACTCAGACGATTAAAGTGCAAAAAGATGAAGTGGAAGAAAACGATGAATCCAACGAACTTCACATTGGTGAAGAGGAAGATGGGGCCGAACATATTTTAGGAGGTTTTGAACACCAAGAAATCGAAATGATGAGCACGACAGGCATTACCAAGAGAAATTTGTAAGTAGACAATGTTAATTTTTATTAATTTATTTTAATTGATATCGATATATACCGGGTGGTGCATCGTCGTTGGAAACATAGGAACTCGCATGCAAATTTTGAACTGTCCAGATATTGGCTTCCCTGTTAATTTTACAGCGAAGTCGTAAATAGGTTTTTTTAAATGTCTGCGTATACTGAATACTAGGGTACACCAAAAAAAATGTTGTTTCCTTTTAGTTGTCGTAAAATATCGTTCAGGATGATGAAAAAATTATTATAAAGTTTGAGCTTTTAATATTAATATCAAGAGGTGCCGATGATTGGTGCATCGTGATTTTCTATTTTTCATTTAAATATTACAGGGAAACAAATTCTTTTTTTTTTTTTTTTGCGTTCTAACAAATCAGCGTTTTGTACAAATCAATACATATTCTTGTAGGAAATTGAACGGTCTTCAAAAAAGGTCTGATATGAATTTTCATTTAATCGACTCATTTGAAAGTTATTGACGGTTAAGTTCAATTAATTTCAAATCGCATATGATACGATTTTTGACCGAGATCTACGGCACGCTACACATCCAACTATTTTTCATTTTTTTTTTTCGATAAATCGCAATAGCGTCACTGTTAGTTTAAGTTCTGTCATAATTTCCTTCAAGATTTACTACCTCTAAACAACTACCAGTGGTATTACAACAGACCGACAGTGCATTTCCGAATCTATATACCCGATATTCATTGTGTATGGCGTTTATAGTTTTCAGTTGTTTGATGTTTGTTTATTACATTGCCCATTTGTCCCTCTTTATCCGTAGCATTTTATTTTTTATTCCTTTATGATTTTATACGTTCTGTAGCATACCTGTGACGTAGTTACCGCTTCGCTCCTATTGGTCCAAAAGTTACGAGGCAACCTGTTTAATATAGTAACCTTGCACTGGGGTCCCAAATCCGTCTACCCTGCATGATAACAAGGATGTCCAACAACAAAATCCTTGACAGTGATAGAGGTTTATTTTATTTTACAAAGAATTAAGTTGGTACAATTGGAACGCATAGCAGAAAATTAATATATTTCAATATATTTAAAATTTGACTGATAGTGATTAAATCGAGTTATTTTATTTAAAATAAAAAAACGGTATGTGTTTATATATATATATATATATATATATATATATATATATATATATATATATATATATATATATATATATATATATATTATAAACTATTATAATACAAAACAAACAAGAACAAAACACCACATACCAAAAGAATATAAAAAAGAACTATTTCTTACCATCAATCAAGCTTAAAGAAAATTCGGGCATTTATTATTATATTTATCAATATAACTTATGTACAAATACAAATTTGTAATATTCCACAGGAATAAATAAAACGAACTATTTTATTAATAATAACACTTACCAAAATTTTATACCTTATAGGTTGATTAATTAACTTTAATCTTAATTTTTTAAGCCAGTACCTTTTTCACATTATTTTTCTGCAGTACTAAAATCCATTATTTACCTATCGTGTGATGTCGATATTTTACAGCTAGTCCAGTAGTATATGTTTAGTATGATCCTTGTAGCATATACAAAATGCACTTATCTACGACGAGATTGTATACAAACTTTATTGATGGTAACTTTATTGGTTTATAAGACTTTCTGTCTGGGCAGCGAGTATTAACTATAAACTATGCTGGTCTACAGTTAATTTTCCCTCGATTTTTCCTCCACTTGACTTCAAAAGACACAAAACACACGTAATAACACGAATCAAAATGCATCATCTTCCAAAACGCAGATATTTGACATAAGTTGACACAAAATTATAACCTATAATTTGGCAAGATTTTGACAAGCCTCAAAAATCTAAAGGCGAGTTCATACGCATCGGCGTCCGTTTGTCATTCATCGTTCCGTTAAACTATGGAGTGGAGGAGAAAGTAACGAGGTACCGAGGTAAGGAGAAACAACTCCGTGCATTAAAAAATGGTCAAAAAAAGGGAAGAATTAGGATGGCGCTGCTGTAGCAAAAACCTAAAATTTAAGACATGCGCCGAACATTTTTAGAACAGCTAATTCAAAAGACAAATATTTGACGTGAATCATATACGTGAAGCCGCGGGTTTCAAAAAAATACAAATTTTATTTTCATGTCACATGAAATAAATTACAGATTTTTATTCAGCAGCATAGACTAGGCCCTTTTTTTATTGTTTCGATCCGTGATTGTTTCTCATAAGTTATTTCGCAAATGTCATTCAAGACGATGAAAAAATATTCTCATCGTTTTAGCTTAAAATTAATGTTAATTATAATTAAGAAAATTTTATTTAAAGTAATATTTGGTGATGGGTTTAAAATAAATATAATGCAGCTTTAAAATAACTTCATACCTACATTTATTTAGTATAAAAGTAAGTCAATATGTGGTTTTATTATCGATTATTTAGAAGCAATAGACTGAGCCTTTTTTTATTGTTTCTCATAAGTTATTTCGTAAATCTCATTCAAGATGAAAAAACTTTAGTTTAAAATTAATGTTAATTATAATTAGGAAAACTTTTTGATTTAAATAAATATAATGCAGGTCAAAAATAACGTAACACATTTTATTTAGTATAAAAATTAAGCCCACATAATGTAGTTTTATACTGTACAAATATTTATTTACGTTTTGCCATCGTAGTTGCCATTCATTCAGAATAGTGGATTTTAAATGTTCGATAGTCGGATGGCTTAACTACCTTAATATCAACTACTTCTAGACAAGAATCGTGTGCAGTATTATCTTCTTTTTCACTCCCAGCTATTCCAACATGGCTTGGGACGTTGAATAATATAATTTTATAGCCCTTCCAGATCCTCATGTCTTCCTTGTAGTTCACCCAATAGAATCGTTATTGCTCTACAAAATGTTGATCTATCAAGGGATGTTTATGTGTGTAATATTACTATTTATGTGTATAATAATACTGTATGATCGAAAAAACACGGCGTCCAGTTGGCTTGGAAATGAACATCGATGACATTCTCCATATCATTTTACATATAAAATGACAGCAATCTTCATTTCATATTTTTTATTCGTTCAAATTGTACTTACGTGTATAATATTCATTTAATGGTTCCTGTTTTAGTTGCTGGTGTTGATATTTTGGTCTTTTAAGGCGGGCGGCCACTGCGAGCGAAACTAAACTAAGCGAAGATGAGATTTGTAAGAATTAGCTTCCATACTTTTTAATGCGTCAGCGGCTACTTGAGCGAAACAAAACGAAAATATATGAACGAAGATTCGAATCGTAGTTTAGTTTCGCTCGTTTTAGTTCGTGACAGGTTCCAGCGAATTTTTCGCAGCGATTAGTTCTATGATAGCAGAGATACAATATGAAAACTTAGCTGACTACTGACCGAAAATCGTTCCCAATGGAGTTCCCATTTAATTACCGTTTGTTTTCATATTCTTAGCTTAGTTTAGTGCAGTGGCCGCTCGCCTTTATTCTGTTGTTGCTCTACAAAATGTTGATATTTATGTGTATAATATTACTCTTTCTGTGTATAATATTCATTTAATGGTTCCCTTCTTGCTTGTTGCTGTTGTTGCAACTCAGAATTTAAATTAACCTGGGGCAGTAGGTAGAGCTTCATCCTCCAATATTTTCCTATGTAAATACTATAAGCGGACAGTATTTCTGATGACAGTTTTATCATAAGCTTTAACATCTTGTTCTTTAAAATGAAACTGCCATACCTTATCTGTAGATTTCAAAGCAATATCTAATGCTTTTGACCATCGCTGTAATCTAATTCTTGTCTGAAAATCAATACCTAATAATATATTATCCTGATGATTTTGATTTTTGATAGATTATTAAAATACAGCACTTATTTCTTGAAAGTACCTACAATTTTTATGTATTTCCTACTTTTACTTGTTTAAAAAAATGCCAACAATTTGTGCATGTCTGTCAAACTTTAAAATCATTAAATAAATTTTATTCAGGTTGTAAAAATATACTTTGTAACATGTATGTCAATAATCTTACGAAAAATTTTTTGATTGAAACACTTTTGATTGACTCTAATTTTTACATATAGTACAAATAATACAAATACTAAATTATATTATGTATTTTACATACCGTAGGCTTTGCCTTTGCTCTTTATTTTTCCATCAGCTATTCAATCAACTTCGCATCACACACACTTTAACCATTGTTAAATAATAAATAGAGCACAAAATATGGATAAACAATGATTATTTTATATTCTAAAAAATAAAAACAAAGCTTTTTTTGGGTAATGTTTAGTTATATTTATTTTTATTCTCTTATCTATGGGTACTTTTCCTTTTTTAGATTTATGCGTTTTTAGCGCCACTGTGGTCATTTGGCGAACCCTTATTCTTCCCATTTTGTGACCACTTTTTCAATAAAAGTCCCATAAGAGTTGTTTCTCCTTACCTCTACACTCCATACGTCAAACCTATAAAATGGAAGTAATATGATCTGTCATTTTTGAAATAAACCAATAAAACTGGTTAAAAACAACAAGAGATGACGGACGCATGACAGATTTATATTTAAACCCATCCATAGTTAACTTAAAAAATATTAGACACTTTTTTTAGTAAAATAAATAGATTGGTATGGGACGTCATCTGCTTTTCTTCTGTCATCGTCTGTCGAAATCTTACCTGAGAAAAAAACAGAGTATACTCTTTCCTTGATTTTTTTATTCAAAGGATTAAACATAATTAGGCCTCTTCTTTAATTTTTTTTTATTCAGTGGTAGTGACAAATCGGTTTTATTTCAGGTATACCAACGGACACGAACTATTTTTGGTGACGTACCCTAACGAAATACTACCAAGAGGCTCCGGTAACACGGAAACGTGGATTCACACCAGCCATCCATAAAAATCTGTATATATTTTATATTGTTACTTATCTAGAAGTATTTTAGATATATTTTTTTAAATTACCTTATTCGTTAGTAATAACATAATTTCAAAATAAATATCTTTTTTAGTAGAGGTTTTATTCCGGACATACCATAGAATTTTAGAGTTAACTGTAAATTTTTATTTAATATTTATTTTTAAGTTTTCTTTAGTTTAAATAAAGGAAAATGACCTGAAAGAACGTATTATGTTCTAATCAAAATTTCTTTATAGCAATTAAATATTGATTTTACTGTAGGGTCTAGATGGTTAAATACAGAGTTATGATATGATAATATATAGAAGATGACAAAAATATAACTTTATTTCAATTTTAAAAACGTTTGATTTTTAGACACCTTAAATGTGTTCGAAATTCATTTAAAATTGGCAAAATTATTGGCATGATGTATAAAAAATGGAGAATAAACTATGTACAGTAAGAAGATGTAGTTTTATTTATATTTTTTCTCGAAAAAAAAGTTTTAGTTTAATACTTCCATTTAAATCCCGAATAACTTATGAAAAGGAATTCAGAAATTTTCAAAAATGAAAGCAATTAAAAAACGTGCGAGAAGAAATAAAGTTTTTACCTATTCTCGCTGTTAAAGTATCATTTAATCTACCCTTGCGGTTAAAGTACTATTTGGTACTATTTTATCTACTATTTTTGATAGATATAAGGTAATGTTAACAGTTGCTATGGAAAAAAAGTATTTTTTACAACATTTATTGAAAAGGCATCTACAGAAGATGATACATTTGTATATTAATATCCAGATAAAGCTGTGGCAGAAGGATAATGAGATCTTATCCTTCTGATTCTATCGTTATCGATTTCCAAAGTCTTCTTTTTCAACATTATCTCTCTTTCCAAGTTATTTCTGGTCTGTATCATGTTTTCTTGAGATTTTAGCGCCTGTCCCAATTGACCTTGAAGGGCTGCAACGTTTTCTGCGATTGATTTTACTTCATCTACCAACCTAAGAAAAAAATATGTAAATTTTAAGCATCAGGATTGGTCACCGTTCATAATAAAAGTGTCTTAAGAGTCCATTTCACTAGTCCGAAAACGTAGCAAAATAAGCGTTCAGTGTTTAACGTTTTATGGAAAAGTGGCTAGGTATTTTTACACAAATGAAGAAGGAAATTAAAGATATATAAAGGATTATACTATATCCGTATTGTAGCACATTTTTAGACAACTTCTTTAATTTTAAGATTCGTCAAACATCAACAAGATATTCCTTATGTTTGGACTAAATTTTCTCGAAAATAAAGACATAATTTAAAATTCCGTTACAATACGGAAATAGATTGAAGTTTTGTGATTACAGAGTGATATATAGTTTATATGGTTTTGTAACAAATTGCTTCCTATTTTATGGCAAATGCTGAAGCTCTGCAAATCTTAATCAAGCCTTAATCAAAGCACGTGTGTTTGGAATTTTGGGTGTGGCTTAACACGACAGAATCGGTCTAAGCTTTAGCCCACGGCCACACGGAAGGCGTTTTTTGCGTCTCAAGCGCTTTTTGCGATTTTACCGTTTTAAGCATTTTTTTCGATTTGTGTCCATTAAAACACGCAAAAGACGCGGCAGGTCTGCAGTTTCTATCAAGATGTCAATTAGTAACGTCGCAAGCTCGTGGATTCCCGGCCCGTTCAACAATTAATCCTGTGAGAAAGAGATAGGCGAGATCGGCGCGGTTAGCGTTGAAGAGACGAAGATAAAAGATGCTGGGATTGAATTGTGGACGGGCCGGGGCATATATTCGGCAACAGACACAATCTACTGCTAGTGCCAGTGGTGTGTGTAAAAATAATAAATAGTATTTGCCATTTATTTTACGAATTTTAGTTTATATGTGTATAGATTTTTTATTATGTAGTGTTGTGGTTACTTGTTATAATTATAATATAAGATGATAAAGAATTATAATTATATAATAGAATAGTAAATATTAGTACATTACTAGTTGCTGACGCAATTTTAGGACATGATTTATGAAACTTTTTGGAGTGAAACTTCTTTACGCGCGCTGGGAGTAAAGATTCAAGGCCGTGACATACGAGCTATTGAGACTACCCTGACACACGAGCTAGTTGTAACGAAACATGTTAACGGCTTAGAAATACGTAGTGACGCGACGTGTATTTGTGCGTAAACCTCGTGTTTATCAAAAATATTGATATTTTAATACAAATTTTGTAAAAGTTAATCAAATTATTACGTGTAAAAAACCGTTTTTTACACGTAAAAAAACTATTTTTATTATTTTACGCGAATAAAACTGTTATACGTAAAAAACTATTTTTTACGCGTATAAAACTATTTGTTACTGGTAGAAAACTATTTTTTACGCGTATAAAACTATTTGTTACGTGTAAAAATCTATTTGTTAAACGTAAAAAACTATTTTTTTACGCGTCAAAAACTTATTGTTTCTGGTAAAAAACCTTTTTTACGCAAAAAGAAATATTTTTTACGTGTAAAAAACTATTTGTGAGACGTAAAAAAATTTTTTTCTCGCGTCATAAACTTATTGTTTCTGGTAAAAAAACTTATTTACCCAAAAAAATATTTTTTACGTGTAAAAAACTATTTGTTACGTGTGAAAATCTATTTGTTACACGTAAAAAACTAATTTTTACGCGTCAAAAACGTATTGTTTCTGGTAAAAAAACTTTTTTACAGAAAAAAAAAATTACGTGTAAAAAAACTATTTGTTACACGTAAAAAACTATTTTTTACGCGTCAAAAACTATTTGTTTCTGTTAAAAAAACCTTTTTTACGCAGAAAAAAACACTTTTTACGAATAAAAAACTATTTTTTACGCGTAAGAAAATATTCCTTTGATTTATGACTTTTTTAACATTTCAAACTACATTTTTTCAAACATTTCCTTGAAATTTTTGAATTTAATAGAATCTTCTTAAACAGTAGATGTTCTCTATAGAAATATTTTTAGATAATATCCTAAAATGAAAAAAATGCTATTACTATTTAATTTATTTTTATTGTATTATTAAATATTTCGTTCGCCTATGACGGGGTCTCATAGAAAACGCTAAAGACGCTACAGAAAATAAATTGATTTGTTTTCATTTGCGTTTTTTGCGAGACACGCCGAGCGCTAGACGCTTTCAGAGGGGCCACTCCTATATAATTCTGTTATTTTGTTTTAGACGCAAAAGACGCTTCACGCTAAAAACGCAAAAAACTCTTTCTGTGTGGCCGTGCACTTAGGCAGATTTCTGAAATATAATATATATATTTCCTTCGGCCACATACCCTTTACCCGACACCTGAGAGCGACCCGAAAGTACAGCGTAATAGACTGTTAACATTAAAAATATATTAAAATGGTATATGGTAATAACTAGCTAAGTCTATCCAATCAGTTATTGAATATTTTGTCAGAGGACATCCAAAAAATGACAGCAACTGTCACTGTGATATACCCTCTTGTAGGACACGCTTTATCTCATTTTATCATGACACAAAGTTCGCGTGATCATAAAACTTTTTGCTTATTCTTACCCAAAATGAGATGTATCACGACAATTTTCAACTCTAGGCCTTTGCAGTCGGTTATCCAACCTAGTCTGTGCCTTCTTCATAGGAATGTCCATACGTCTTATGGCGGATTTCAGCGCGTCTATCAGAGCTTCGACTTCAGCAAGTTGCCGTAAAATCTGTGTGTATAAAAAATATAGGACGTTAGACCATAGAAATAAAAATATCAAAGTATTTCTTAAATGCAAGTATTTCAATCGGAAGTACACTTATTTCGTTCCCGATTTCGTCGGTGTGTGGGACGAAATCATCAGGATTTTTCTTAATTATGTGCCGATTGGAACCAAACTCGGCACGTGGATAGAGGTACCCGAATGGAGTCCTCAGACGGAGAGACGGTCATTTTAATACAAATTTGGCGAATCGAATGATTTATTAATTATTTAGCTAACATTCTTTTAATATTTTTCTAACCTGTTTTAGTTCCATCTCCAACTTTCTAGTCACTTCCTCGGTACAAGCTATTCTCTTACTAAGAGCCAGTTCAACCCTGTCAGCTTGGGATCTCAAATCTCTTGCTGCGTTAATCAGTATAGCATCCAGGGTTCCTCTGAGTGCAGCTGACCGCTGTCTTGTAGCTTCGCCTTCCAGAAGAGTCTCCTTGGTAAAGTGTTCCCAGAATTCTGGTGTGGACTGACTTAGAATTAAAAGAGAAGTTCATGTAATTTCGGGGATTTCTCAAATAATTTTGAGAAAAACAAGTTAGTCATTATTTTGTTTGATACATTCATAATTTTATAGCCATATATTACAGATATTCTAGCTTACTTCTCAGGAAATATTACTGCTCCAGGTTTAAACATGAGAACAGTAGATCGGGTGTCGAGTGAGGCGTTGAGAGAATCTATCTCGAGAGAAAGTTGTTTGTCACTCCAATCGTATTCTAATCTAAAATTTAAGAAAATAGAGTTTGATTTGTCCTAGTGTATTATTTGGCATTTCCAAAAAGTTTATGTTACGAAAGTTATAACGAAACGATTAGCAACATCTCTCGATAATATACGAAACGATAAACGATTGTTTTCTAACGATAATTTTCGTGCTCTATGACGTCGTAAGTTATCGTGACTTACAAAACATTCCAAAAGTAACAAATGTGGGTATAACGGGTGCGTCTCAAAAGTGGTTCACCCCTATAACTTTTTTTTCAGATAAAAATTAAGATTTGGTCTGTTAGTATATGACATAAATTAGGATTGATTGACGTATTCAATTGCTTTCGGCCACTTCCTGTTTCACCGGAAATGACTACAACTTTTAATTTTTAAATGGCACTCTCGGTATTTTGTTACTATATTCGATAGAAAATGACACTCTGAATAGAATGACATAAATCATATGTCAACTTTTGGTATTTTTCATTATGGTTTATTTTAAATTGTAACACGCGATTCATAACGACAATTTGACTCGAAATACCAAGTGTTTGGTACCAAATTATTCGTAAAAAAGTGCTTTTTCCAAATATGCTAATGTGCCACCCTAGTTCAATTTGAAAAAAGTGAGATATGATTAAAAATACGATTTGGGCATCTTTTAAGAAGCCAGAACATGGTACTAATTAGTTTTTTCAACACAGCCTAAACACAGCCTAAGCACTCTAGATTAAGATTTAAAATACAATTTTTTTTTGAAAACGAAAATGTCAGAAGTTGACATATGATATGTCATTATATTCAGAGTGTCAGTTTCCATCGAATAAAGTAAAAAAATACCGAGGGTACCATTTAAGAATCAAAAGTTGTAGTCATTTCCGGTGAAACAGGAAGTGGCCGAAAAGAATTGAATATGTCAATCAATCCTAATTTATGTCATATACTAACATACCAAATCTGTTTTTTTTATTTGAAAAAATAAAAAAGTTATAGAGGTGAGCGAGCCACTTTTGAGACGCACCCGGTATAAGAATATATTAAAATTTGTAATTGTAGAATCTATCTTTTATTCTGTGAATCCCGGAACTACATACCTCTGTTTGGCAGTTCTGTCCTCGGTAAGTTGGGTCTGTATGTCTTTCAAAGTTCGTGAAAAGATATCTCGAATTTCCGAACAGAGCGAAAGTTCTTTGATCAATTCTTCTTCCACTTCATCGCGAACAAGTTCACTATCCATACGACCAGTCCTTCTTTCCAAACATTCTCCAGCTAAAGATACGTAAATTATAAAACAATCACAAGTTTGAACTTAACGTGGGAAAGTATCATGAGAAAAACTATTATGCTAAGCGATTGTCTTTACAAAATACCGTACCAATAGCTTCCGGCATTTGTAACACAGCAGCCGCTTGCTTCAATCTTCTGCGCTGTTCTTCCATGAAAGCTATCTCCACAGCTGATGCAGCTATGGCTCTTTCCAGTTCGCATTTCCATCGCAGTATTTCCATTTCCCTTTGGTTGAGTCTTCGAGTGTTATCTTCCTGATTTTTGTCTACGTCAGATTGGGTTTGTTCCAGACATTGCCTCCCATTCCAATCGATTCTAAAAAATCAAATAATTTATTAAATGTGATAGACTATGCTTTCATTTAGGTTAAAAATGTTTAATTTCCATTGGCTCTCCCATTCTTTGATTATTTATGGTTATATCCATTGAATTAATGATTATATCACTCTCAGTTATATTTTAATCTGAAGATTCACTTTGAATGATCGTTTTGTCCCCAAAAGAATTATAGAAAGTAAAATGTTCAAGATGGGGGTTTCTACAATCATGACTTGGGTACAAAAACGGAACTTGCAGTGTACCGAGCAATAATAACCCAACCAGGTTATATGGAAGCAAAACCTCGGTGCCCTACCGCCAGCACACGAACGCATTAAACAAATTAATACAGAGACACCTTACACAACTCTTAAGAATCAAATGGTTCCACCATATCTCAAAGGTATTGGTCCTTCAAAAAGCTAGCTGCGAGAGCGTTGAAGTCATGATTACTGAATCCCGCTTAAGATGGGCTGGTCACGTATACAGGATGTAAGAAAACCACCTAGATGTAGATACTAATAATTTAAAATAGAATTAGATGCATATGAGAGCGTCAATGGTCCAATTCCTTCAAGTCCTCTATTCCTATTGCTCTAGCTTCGGTAATTAATTGCCACGCCCACTCAGTGTCAATTGAACTCCTATATAGGACTATAATTGAACGTTTATATTTATATAAACGTTCAATTTGTAGGTATTAGTTTAGTTTTAATCACCTGCTGATGATGTTAACATAGTTAGCGAAAGGCGCGTCCTGTGCAAAAGTAAAGTGTTTTAGTGTATATTGTGTTGAATTACTGTTTTATTTTGCTGAAGCATTTATTACTATAGTATACATACAAATTTGATCTGTGCTGTTCAGTATCGGCCTCTTCCAGTATATCTTTATTGTGACTTCTCCATTCCCCTTCGCTATAGCGCGTAATAGAGTATCTGTCCACCACCGGTCTCGTACCTGTCAACCCTGCCAGAGGTCCCCAATCTGCCTTGCCAGTAGCCCAAGGGCCTGTAGGACCCATTTCGTTAATCTAACAAAATTAAAAATGAGTATAGTATATTTTTTGATAAACAACCCAAGAAACAGGCCAGTCAGTTAATTTGTTGCAAAGAAACAAATACTGAAACGTTTTTCTGAAGTTTTAACTTAATAATCATTTAATATTTTAAATGAAGTTTTAATATACAGGGTGTTTCAAAAAACATGTGCCATCTCTCGTGGGGAGATTCCTCACGTAAAAATAAGATTTATTTTTCATATCAACATAGGTTCGATTCTGTTTTGTTTCGGAGCTACTGGGTGTTGAAATCTTAATAATCTTTTGATTTATTATAATTTTCTTTTCGAATGAAACTTTGAGGGTAAAAGTTACTATAAGTGGTACATATTTAATTTCTAAAAATATGTTGATAAATTTATCAGGGACGTGCATATGGGTTATCACTGGAATATTTTTTAAAAAAAAAGATGTGCGCCACTGACTTTTTTTCTTTTGATATCAATATTGTGTAGGCCGTTTAATGCCAATTAAAAGTTATCTCTTGATATTTTGTCCAATTCGGTCTCCTTGATGAGAGAAAGCAATTTTATTAATCACAATTAATAAAATAAAAATAAAATTAATAAATAATATATTTTACCTAATTTATTATTAAATATTATTATTATTAGTTATTATTACTATTAGTCCAACCTACAGCAATTTCAAATAAAAAAATAATTACAAGAAGTCTACTTTTAAAAAGTTTTAACATCCTGTAACTCTAAAACTATGCATTTTCATACCCATGTTTATAGGACCTTTTTTTGATATTTTTTGATGAGGAATCAATGAGTACTTAACTTTCGCAAGTTAATGATTAAAATTAAAATTGCATTTATCTCATCAAACAGGCCGAAATAGACAAAATACGAAGAAACATCTTTTAATCGGCATTAAACTGCTTACACTATTTTGCTAACAAGAGAAAAAAGTCAGTGGCGTACATGCTTTTAACAATATTCCAGTGATAACCCATATGGCCCATATGCACGTCCCTAGTGAATATGCCAACACTATTTTGGCTTATATTTAGCATTTATAGTAACTTTTACCCTCAAAATTTTATTTGAAACGCTAAAAGTACTTGGAAGAAAATTATAATGAAGCAAAAAAATATTAAGATTTTAACACCCTGTAGCGAAACGAAACAGAACCTATGTTGATTGAAAAATAAATCTTATTTTTGCGTGAGGAATCTCACCACGAGAGATGGCATATGCTTTCTGAAACACCCTGTATTTTTTAAATACAAAGTTTTAGTATATGTTTTAAGTATACAAAGTTATGTATATCATGTCTATAAAACTATATAAATCTCTCGGCGCTGCGGCAAATTTATCTGCAGAAGCCTCAGTAAGACACACCCTGTATTCGTCCGAAATATTTTTACCTGTTGCGCTAAAATGGTATCTTCGGGTTGGGGAAGATAACACAGAGGCTTCTCCACACCTACGGGACGTAATGCGTTCGGTACCGGAACCAGTTGTCCAACTTCCGGGTTGTTGTTTTTGGTTGGATCGGATCTTCCGGCAGTGGCGTGCATGTCTTCTTGATTGATCTGTACTGTTTTTGGAGGCTCTCCGATATTTGTAGATTGAGGAGGAGGCTGATAGGAAGACTGGTTAGTGGTTGTTGCAGGGTGTTGAAGACTATTAATATCCCTTGTCGCTTGATTGGAGTCAGTAGAAGGACAGCAGCAATTTTCTCTACTCGGTTTAAGTATACCTTTTGGTTTTGACGTTGATCCTAAAATAAAAACAGCAAAAATAAAAGTACATGATGATCTAATTTAGTTTTAATGATCTGCTGCTGATGGTTAGCGGTTTGTTGAATTTTGTAAGAGCTGAGTAAGTAAGGAAGAAGTAATAATATACAGGATGTCCCAATATTCCATGGACCTAGAACTACTACGTATTTTTGGAATCCATATAAACTCACCGACCACTAAAAACTAGTCCCAATTTCAAAGTTGGATTTCTCGTGAACCACTCTTTAGATTTTGATGATTTTTTTTAATTGTAAATTAATTCCTAATAAAAGTACTAAGTAAATAGTATTGGTGCCCGGTGGCGTAGAGGTACAGGCTCTCGTCTACCAATCTCAAGGTAGTGGGTTCGAATCCCACACCCGGCATTTCATCAGTCGACTAAAAATAGTTTGGGTATCTAAGTCGACTCAGCCTTAAATGAGTACTTGGGATTCACAATCCTGAGGTAATAATAGGCGGTTGAAGCGTAGTGCTAGCCACATTACCTTCCTTGTATACCGAACGGCTCTAGTATGGCAAGCTGTACCTTGCTACTCCCAAAGCGCCAAACGCTATATACGGGAGCTATTATTATTATTATTATTATAAATTAATTCCTTCTTAACGGATGCTACGTCAGAAATTTCTATTCCGAATTTATTTTGAGCATATACAGGGCACAACAATAAGACGAAGTTTTTTGCCCGAACTCTGTAACACCCTGTAGGGTGTAGCAGCTGTAGTAGGTATTGCTAAATCAAACGACGACCGCTTTATTATCCTGAATACTATACGAAATCGTAGAATTACAGCGTTTCCGAATCAACATCTGCTACAATCCGTGCGTAGAACTCAAGTCAGTGAGAGAACAATCCGACGAAGACTCAAAGAAAATAGCTTGTCTGTAAGGAGGCCTGCCACAGGACCCCAACTACTTCCAATACATCGTCGAGCACGTCTGCAGTTTGCGCGTTTGCATGTGAATTGGGATATTGAGTAATGGACTAAATCTTTTTTCGAGGCGTTTGTTTTAAAGCAGCGTAGCTCCAATACAAACAGAGATAATGTCGTGATTAAAAAAATAAAATGCTCACATAACATGAGGCTACAATGTGATTTGATTTAGCAATAGCTACTACAGCTGCTGCACCCTACAGGGTGTTACAAAGTTCGGCCAAAAAACTTCGTCTTATTGCCCTGTATATGCTCAAAATAAATTGGGAATAAAAATTTCTGACGTAGCATCCGTTAAGAAGGAATTAATTTACAATTTAAAAAAAAGATCATCAAAATCTAATGAGTGGTTCGCGAGGAATCCAACTTTGAAATTGGGACTAGTTTTTAGTGGCTGGTGAGTTTATGTGGATTCCAAAAATACGTAGTAGTTCTAGGTCCACCGAATATTGGGACACCCTGTATACGAATCATTCTGTATATTTATAAAAAAATTAAATATGCGCTGTTTTTAAATATTGTACTATTACTCGCACATTTGGAAAACTATTGGATTGAAAATTTTAAACAAAAATCTGACGATTTTTCGGAATACTAGGTCATCCTATATTCTATTAAAAAATATTGTACCATTCTTATTAAACGTATCACAATTAATTTCTACTTTTGTTTCATTATTAGCATTTTCAACAGGCAAACAGCATGCCTTTTGGGCTTCGAGGCAATTAGGCATTCCACCCATTTCGTGTCTCAAAACGCTTTCTTCGTTTGTGAATTGTCTGTTTTGAATGTCATAATTAATTTGGTGTTCTTTTTGTGGAGGAAGCTTAAGGTCAGGACTTTGATAGGCAGTAGACACACCTAAATGATGTTGATTGGCATGGGATGAGTCTTGGAACGCTATATTTGGATTGGGAACGGTATTTTGTGAAAGGTAAGGAAGTTCGGTCTGTAAAAATACGTTTAAAATATAATTAAAATCAACGAACAAATTACTTACACGAGGTGCAAATTTTGCGTAGTAAGGACATGGGCCGCAACTTCTATGTTGATATTCGGCCATTTATACGTTGAATTGAACAAACAAACTTCCTAGCAGCAAAATTAATTTGATCGATCAACGAAATATAGCAACTGACGTGTTTACCGATAATTTAAAACACCCGCCGATATTTTATATTTAACAAAGAAAACTGTAAATAACTGGATAGCTTTTTAGATGGCTCCAATCACGTCTTGTAAATATTATACATTATTTTTTTTTTCAAATGTCACCAAAGTATTAATTTTTGCGACGTGATTGACAATATAAAAAAGTCATTTTAACGCTTAGGCATAAAACAAGCATAAAAGTAAAGCACTTTTACGCCTAAGTGACCTAAGCACAAAAGTACGAAAATATATTATTAAACTGACATAAAGTGTCAAATTCAACGAGCGTAACCATAGTTTCTCGATATACAGGGTGTCCCAGAAATAAGTGCAAATATTTTAAGGGGTGGTAGATCTCGATAAAAGAAACATATTTTCTCTTTATCGTTTTTCAAATAAGTCCAAAATAACGGAGTTATTTTACTTTGAAAATTTCCAAAAAAAAATAATTTTTGCTAAAATTTTGAGAACCACTGGATCTTTTCTGGATTTTCTTTCTTGCAAATTTAATCTAATACCTATGTTGCCATATTATCAAGAAATTATGTTTTTTAACTAAAAAGTAAAAAAATTTCCAAAAAATTTTTGAAAAAATTTCGAATTTTCAAAATTTTTTTTTCGCAAAAAAAACCTCATAGGCGTGTTTCTGGGGTTGAACTATACTACCAGTTAAAATATTTGCACTTATTTCTGGGATACCCTGTATAATTACATACAAGTTATTACCCAAAGAATATACCGTATGATCCGTATGATCGAATAAAAACGGCGTCAGCGATGGCTATGAAATGACGATCGATGACATTTCCCATATAATTTTACATATAAAATGACAGCGATCTTTATTTCGTAGCCATCGCTGACGCCGTTTTTATTCGATCATACGGTACGTATTAACGTATTACCCTTGGTATTACTTTTAATTTTTATTATATTATATGGAACGTTTGAAACTGTTTAAAAAATTATCTGTGGCGTTTGAAAAAAACATACCTAGCATGTTCTATCCAGATTAAAAATGACTTTTTGTGACTCGCCACAAAAAGGGCAATTTTTACTCCTAATTGCTCCTAATAAAACAATATATTGTTGTCATACTGAAATATATTTTAGAATCATTAGCTAATTATACAGGTTTTTAAAAAAAGTAACTGGATTTTAGGATCTAAATCAAAGATATTTAAACTCAGAGTTTTATAACCGAGTTTAAATTTCTTTGATCTAAATCTACTAATCTAAAAACTAAGATTTTTGAAGTGAAACTTCTTTACACACCTTGTAAGTAGAAATTCAAGGCCGTGATTACTCGACACGCGACACGACACGCTAGGAAAACAGTGGAAAAAAAGAAAAGGACATCCTACGACTCGGAAAAAAATCGTCCGATTTAAATGATATTTGGCATGTCGATAGATTGGAGCAAGGCCAACTTAACCCTGTACGACACATGTCACAGTGACAGTTAGTTTTGACGTAAGAAACGTCACAAGTTGATGTCCGATCGTGACCAAATTTGGTGGGTAGACTATGTGAGCGACAATGCACACGGTCCCATCCTGCAAAGGTGGATACGACGTTACGTTTACATCTTCATCAGGGTGGGTCTAAGGCTTGTAAACCCCTGTATAACAAATATTCTACAATAAACAATATTAAAAAGAAAAAAATACTTTAGAACTGAATTATTTGTCTAGTTTACAAATATTAGATTAAAACGTATCTAATAATCAAAATTATCGTAAAATACAAGTGTTTATATTTGTAATGATTTAAAAGATTGATTTAAAGAAATTGATAATAGTTTTAGTATGAATGAGTTTTATCTCGATAATAAGAATATTTGATATCTAAGCTGGGAGTACGTATAGACCCCCAGGATTCCACGTACATCCGCCGTTGGAGCGTAGAAATCAAAATAAACAATTTGCAAGATTCCAGAAACATCTATTTAAGATTATTCTCATTAATTAATAAGTAATTTATCTAGGAATCCCTTCTAAGTATATTGACTGTTTTTGATTTTTCAAATTTTTAGTATACAAGGTGGTTCTAACTGTATTGGAAAACTTATTTACATACGAAACAAAAACATACGAAATACGAAATGTGTTAGTTATTTTCATCTGCAGCATATTCTGCAGATGAAAATAAGTAAAAAATAGTATAAATTTATGTCCTAAAGTGCTTCGTTTGGGAGATACAGGGTGTAGAAGTTTAATTTTATTTCGTTTTTTTTCAAATAATTTCTGAACTAAAGTCGATATTTGGATGAAAATTGTTGTCTGGGTTTTTTGACATGAGAATTCTGATTTCCATGTCGAGGCTCCCTACAAGTAGGAGTCATACTAGCATCGAAATCGAATTTCTCATGTCAAAAAATACCCAGACACTAATTTTTATCCAAATATTTCAGAAATTGTTTGGAAAAATCCGAAATAAAAATGAAACTTCTAGACCGTGTATCTCCAAAACGAACCATTTTATGATATGATTTTATACGAATACTTTTTTACTTATTTTTATCTGCATTTTCCGATTACAATTTGGACCACCCTGTATAGTTGTGGTAGATAATCTGTAACGTGCATGTAATTGACAGATTAATTTATTTGTCAAAAATATATAGCACTTCAAACGTTTGTTAAATTAACTATAATATGCGTTGGAACTTTCGTTGGAATGTTTATAATGAATTCTTTAAATTATTTACAAAAACAAAACTAATTATGACAATACAGGGTGTCCCGGAAATAAGTGCAGACATTTTAAGGAGTGGTAGATCTGGTCTAAAGAAACATTTTTTCTCTTTACCATTTTTCTAATAAATTGAAAATAACCGAGTTATTTCACTTGAAAATTTAAAGAATAAGGCAACATTTTGAGAACCGCTGGGGATAAGCGACTATTAATGCCCACTTGCACCGTTTGTATAAACTTTGTTTAAAGGCTTAACAGTGATTAACTAATATCTGACAAACGAATCTAAAACAGCGGAAGGAATGCGGGCAAAAAAAGTCGATGTTGTCACGTTTAATTATAGAAAAGCAAAGTTGCTCGATATTACCTATAAATTGAATATATTTTAGTTCATTTCAGGATACATAATTATATATATGCTAATATGTTGACGTAGTTCTTATTGTAATAATGTATATTTATCTAATTAACTGATTTCGTTCATTCTACCTATTATAAAAGGTAAAGTATTTCCTTAAGATAAGGTCCGCTTAGGGTAAGCTGGCAACGCTGACAAAATTCATCATGGCATCCCGGATTCAACCAGTCTGATTGGTCGAGATTCTCGCACGTCTTGTCGCCATTACCCCCAACATTATGCCCCTCTCTAGGAATAGTAGAAACAGTCACTACTATTGAAAAATCCAGTGGCGGTGTTATTGTATTGTGTTTTATACCGTATGATCGAGAAAAAACAGCGTCAACGATGGCTATGAAATGAAGATCGCTGTCATTTTATATGTAAATTTATAAGGGAGATGTCATTGATCGTCATTTCCCAGCCAACTGGACGCCATTTTTTTTCGATCATACGGTATCTTTAACTTGATTTTTGTTTATTGTAATTAGTACACGCGTTTTAACAAATATTACTATATTTGGCATATGACTAAACAAAATGTAGGTACATTTAAAGTAAAATAATATTATAAACTTTACTGGAAAATATTATAAAAATTCCTGATATATTTTTATGAAACCCCGCACGCTCGTGGATATTTTATGAATGAAATCTGTCAGGATTTTAGAAAATTGCGATCCCCTTGCCGTTGCCCCGTTGTTTGAGATCCGTTTGTCAGACTGTATACATATTTTATTATAGTTAATCACAGTTTAGCCTTTAATCAAAGTTTATACAAACGGTGCAAGTGGGCATAAGAGTTTTTCAGCTTATTCGACGCCTCAGGTGAATAAACAAGTGGCACTAAAAAGTTTTTTAAAATTTCCCGGAGAATGTCAATAAAAATATAAAATTTTCAACAATTTTCATCAACAAAAAAACTTCATAGGCACGTTTCTGTGGCCGAAATATACTACTAGTTAAAAAATTTGCACTTATTTCTGGGAAACCCTGTATAGTATCGTTTGGTATTTAATAATCGTTAAATATCTCTTTGGTGAAACTATTCAAACATTTTCAATTTTAAAAGTCGCATATTAAAGATGGTGTATTATTGTCAAGACCTAGCTTCGGAGATATTTGTTAGGTTCGCATAAGTCCAGGGCTTGGTTCAGGGTAAAAGAACCATTACAAAAGATCCATTTATTAAGTCAAAACAAACAGTATAAATAAATATGGAGAACAATATTTTGGCAAATAAGACCAAATTTAGGATATGCTGAATACTTACAGAAACATGCCGATGAAACTGACTTATTCAGTGAGACTAAGTTAATAACCGACTATTGACTGTCTGCCATCTTATCGACTCTTGACTGTCTCTTCAACTATCAATATACAGGGTGTCCCAGAAATAAGTGCGAACATTTTAACTGGTAGTATAGTTCAACCCCAGAAACACGCCTATTAGGTTTTTTCGCGAAAAAAAAATTTGAAAATTGGAAATTTTTTGAAAATTTTTTTGGAAACTTTTTTAGTTTTTAGTTAAAAACATAATTTCTTGATAATATGGCAACATAGGTATTATATTAAATTTACAAGAAAGAATATTTTCAAAGTACAATAACTCCGTTATTTTGGACTTATTTGAAAAACGACAAAGAGAAAATATGTTTCTTTTGTCGAGATCTACCACCCTTTAAAATATTTGCACTTATTTCTGGGACACCCTGTATAACGCTATTACTTCATATTTCCTTCATATGTAAAATATTATGGTAAATGTCGTCAATAGTCGTCATTTCCAACCCAATAACTAAATGCCTTTTTTTTGATCATACGAAATATTTAGTACCTATAAAAAAAGATATGTTTGTTGTTTATTATACAGTATGTCCCCGGATTGTCTTCACAAGAGGAAACACTTTTTTATTATTGATATTTTGATTATTATTGTTATATTTTGTTTCCCGTTCCCGTTTATACTTTTCCAAATTTCCATACCGTTTTAGGGGAAATTAAAAAAACATCAAAATATAGTTGAATTTTCCTAAGAAAAAGTCCTAAAAGTCGTGAAAGTCCTAAAAATCAAATCGCGTTACTATGGTAATATTATTTCGTTTTCATTCTTTGAAAGAATATTATTAAAAGAATTTTAATTAACAATATATAATTTTTGCTGTTTTAAAATATTAAAGAAGCTCAAAATTTATTTAGTTCAATGCTACGGAAAGGGTGATAATAGTTATCGGAAAATGTGATACTTTAACAACAGCAAAAATATGACGCTGATCAAAATAATTTAATAATAACCATCTATCAAAGAATGATATTGAAATTAAATTACCATAGAAACGACTTTTGATTTTTAGGACTTCTTAGGTCCTAAGAAGTCGGGGATGTTTTTTGTAATTTTCTCTAAAACGGTATTGACATTTGGAAAAGTATAAACGGGATTTACCATTTTAGAACAAGCAAAAATTTTTATGAAGAATACATTTTTCTCAAAATAATAAAGTTTTTCCTCTTGTAAAGACAATCAAAGTATGTTTAACATGCACGAATAAATTTTCAATATACATAAACGCGGATTTTTCATCCAAAGATATTTTTGTCAAGCGTGTATTACAGATATTACATATTTTAATATGTAACACTGTCGCTTTCAGTTCCACACAGGGTCCTTCGCTAGCCGAATTAGAGAAAATGAGTGTTTTATGCATTGGCCGCAAAACAGGTGGCGGCTCCACCGTATGGCACTTGAGACGTAATGGGAAATCAAATCAGCCTTGTCAGGAATTCGCACATTAGCTTGCGTATCTTCCCAATTCTTTCAAACGGCTCAAGTAAAAAAAACGTCCGTTTTTTTCGCCTATACACATGTTTTACTTCATACGTTTTGTCTGAACAGATAAGACGTAAGCAGGGGTGGATGGGGAAGTGGAAACCGGCCCGGGAAAAACAGGCAACCGGCCCAAATCCACAAAAACAAAATGACCATAACGAAGAAACATATTTTATTTATTAATGGTTAAGTTATTTATTAATAAGTAAGGGTGTTTTTCTCTCGTGCGAAAAAGCTCTTTTGCCTCCGGTTTAAAAAAAAATTAAATTGTCTTGATCAAAATTTTAGTAAAAACTAATATTGGGTCGGACATCTGAATTTTTACTACAAAATGGCTCAGTTTTGCAGGGTTCCACTGCTTTATTTCTATTATCGAGAACGGTAATTTGATCTTGAATAGGCTACGATTTTGAGTCACGATTTTGAGAAACTTTAAGACTTCCTGATTCATTCAGTTCAGCTGACCCAATCCTCTGTAAAATACATTACTTTTAGCTTTTCGGGTATATACTTTCTTACATATTGTAGAAAGAAATTCTCTCTTTTCTGCTACAGTAGCAGCCTCCTCGTGTATACGTGCTTTTAACTGAATGAACCGCGGTCGCCATTAAAACTGCAGCATTTTTTAGGTTATTATATAGTTGATATGCCATGACTCAAACGAAAAAAACCTAGGCAATACCTAAGCAGTTGATCTTACAAGGCTATATGTGTTCTGATGTAATGCTATGTTACAGTCCATAATAAGAATAATAATTGGATATTCCAGACATATTAATATTTTATTATCTAATCTAGTTTAAACCTTATTTAACTCTTCTCTGCTGTCTCAATAATTTTTAGCAAATTCATTTTAGCAACATTTTAAACAACAATGTAGACTTGGCTTTTAGTTCTCAGACTTGGTTTTTAATCCGTCCCCAAGTCAAGCCAAGCATAGATATGTTTTCTGATTCTCCGTCAACCGCAGGGTTCGCGTCAAATTCGTCTACATTTTTACAAAGGGGAGCTCGAAAAATATTGCACCGAGGCCCCCATTTGTCAATCTACGCTACCGTATTCTTAGTATACACTTAAATCGAGACTATTTAAATTTACCTAATGCTATTCATTCTTTTTTTTTCCTGCCAGTCAGTCATATTTATTAGTTATTAATAAAAGAATAGTGGGTAAAACTATCAGTGTAAACCTTAAATAAGTGCAAATATTTTCAGGGGTGGTGTATTTCAACCCCAGGAACACGTTTATGAGGGCTTTTTTGTAAAAAAAGATGTTAAAAATCGGGCATTTTCTTTTAAATTTTCCTGTATATTTTAGAAAACTTTTAGAACTTCCTGTTCACCGCAAATTTTCCCACGGTACAGTTTCTTAATCTCTGATATTACGGCACTAAAAGAGATGCAAATACCGAAAAATGGTGGCTCAAATTTTTTTAAAAATAAATATATTTTTTAAATATCCAAACTTTAATAACTCGATTGGACTTATTTGAAACTCGATAAAGAGAAATTATGTTTAGCAAATTCATTTTAGCAACATTTTAAACAACAATTTAGACTTGGCTTTTAGTTCTCAGACTTGGCTTTTAGTCCGTCCCCGTCCAGAGAAAGACATTTTACAATAGTTATTTTACAAATTGGTGTTTATGTTTAAAAGCAACTAACGATTATACTGATGCAAATTGATTAGTTAGTTATGGAGTCACTAAGGATCTTACGTCACTTTAGTTAGAAGATAAACCATTTAATTTTTGCTAATCAAATCATTTTGAGCTCTGATCGGGACCGGCCCACCGGCCCATCTTGCCACCGGCCCACCGGGAATTTTCCCGTTTTCCCATATGGCCCATCCACCCCTGGACGTAAGGTAAAACCTTATGCGTAGACGGACCTTTCAATATCGCATTACTAAAAGACGTAAACAAAAAGGTGACTTGTCTGGAAAATATTTTAGAATTTTCTTAGGAAGTAATTTGTTCTCCGAATTTCAAGTGTTTTAAAATTCCATAACAGATGTCAGATTATACAATTATCTATTATGATAAATAGATTTAATTTATATAAATTGATTTGCTTCGAATGCTATTTCGTCTTCTGTTATTCTATTGTATAGTATTTGTAAATTACAAGATGTGTTTTAAATTTTTTGTGTTTTTGACACTTCTCAGTGTGTCCTTTGGTTCGGTAATTTTTTTATATTTCTGTTCATTTCATAAAAATAATAATAAAAAATACTTTTAGCCATTGGGCTCAAATTTGAATGACCTGCACGAGTTTATGGATAACGTGGATTCAGATATAGACGAATTTACAGAACGAGTCATCTCAGTCTATCGTGAAGAAGAGATTACAATGAGAAGCATGATAGCTGAAACCCAAGATAACTTTCTAAAGAATCTTAATGAAAGCGCAGAGCCCTACTTCAGTTATATTCAAGCTTTAAACCAATCGGCCGAAGAACAAGGTAAACTACAAGATTTATATCATCATTATAATTCCATAATTCCACATTGCTGCTTACTTAAAGCTTCATTCAGAACTTCGCAATTAGTTGAATAAATTAGTGGTTTCAATTAGCGTAGAAGTATGTTCACCTATTTTTAATGTGAGCATTCAGAACGTCATAATTAGAATTAGTGATAGTAATTTTCAATTAGTCGAAAAAGTTAACAAACTTTTGACTTTTCCACTAATTGAGCTTGATTTTCATGCATCCGTTATCCGACGATACGATGATACGATATTAATTTTATTGGTTGGATTTAAAGACTTCGATTGCTTAGAAACGGTTAACCAATCGAAGTTTTTAAAATGAACCAATAAAATTAATACCGTATCACCGTACCGTCGGACAACGGATGCATGAAAATCAAGCTTTATACTTCAAAATTTGCGAGGAATGCCATTTTGGCCTTTGATTATCATCTGTCAAGAAAATTTTTTTTCTTGACACTTTTTGAACAGATTGTTCAAAATTCTATACCGAACTTTCTGAAATACAGAGTGTCCCAGAGATAAGTGCAAGTATTTTAACTGGTAGTATATTGCGGCGTCAGAAACACGCCTATGGGGTATTTTTTGCAAAAAAAATTAAAATTTGGATTTTTTTTAAAAATAATTTTGGAAATTTTTTTAGTTTTAAGTTAAAAAACATAATTTCTTGATAATATGGCAACATAGGTAGTAGCTTAAATTTACATAAAAGAAAATCCAGAAAAGATCCAGTGGTTCTCAAAATTTTAGCAAAAAATCATTTTTTTTTGGAAATTTTCAAAGTAAAATAACTCGGTTATTTTGGACTTATTTGAAAAACGGTAAAGAGAAAAAATGTTTCTTTTGACCAGATCTACCGCCCCTTAAAATACTTGCACTTATTTCTGGGACACCCTGTATAAATTTTTTTTTTTCGTTTTTTTAAACGAAACACCTTGTAAGTATATTATTTTTTCAATAGATGGAGAATTAAAAAATGAACATTTTTTGTATTTAGAGTATTTCAAAATTTTTAACGGTGTCCCAGATATTCACGGTTTTATAATTTTTATCAAAGCCACCCAATGAATTTTCTCTCGTATTTTACTACTGAAACAGCCATATGAAATAATACTGCGTGTATCTACGAAACCATTAAAAATTTTGAAATACTTTAAATACAAAAAATGTTAATTTGATATTTAAAAAAACATTCATATTAAAATATATTCAAAAAAATATACAGGGTGTTTCATTAAAAAAAAAGAAAAATTGTATACCTGTTATTTATTTCTACCGTATGATCGTATATTTACTTTATATTTATGTATAATTTAGTAACAGTTGTAAAATAACTGACAGTTAAATAACAACCCGTATCACTCAAGAGATGTGCTTCTTTTTTCTTTTTTAGGACAGAATATTTCTAGCTGCATAGAACTTGGAAACGAAGAACTGGATTCCTTAATGATCAACTACACCTCAACTATTTCCTCTGAAATTGACGATTTTGCTACCAACAGCACGCTTATTCTTTTAAATTACTTTGAGTACGCTTATCACAAACCAAGGGAACAACGTAACGAGATGTGGGAGAAAGTGAACGACTGTCACCACAACTCGTGTGCCCTAATATTACTAGCTGAACTGATGGAAGAGTACGATGAACTAAAAGTTCAAATGATATCCGCATATTCTAGCGCTTTGCACTATTTTAACGTAGAGTTTCCGATAGGTTTGTCTCAGTTCACATTTGATAGTGTTGCTTTTAATGCTAGTCTTAATGCTATTATTCAAGATGTAAATAATTGCACTGAAAGTGCTTAAAGTATAATTTATCAAAAATAATGTTATATCTGTTTAGTTAGTACTCTACTTCAGAGAGAGAGAGAAAAATACTATATGTCTGTTATAGATTTATTACCTTACTTATCATACATAGTGAATCAACATTAAAATATATAAAATATTTCTATAAAGTATAATAAAGACCTATAATATTAAAAAAAATTGTTTAGTTATCCTTTACAATGACCTACTCATATACTGTATTGACGACATACAGGTTGTTAATTTGTTTATTACTCGCGGCAAGATGAGCTTTATGGTTGAAATATGGCAACCTCGGCCCGCTCGTCGGTAGAACGACGCGACGCGACGGGACGAGTCGGCAGAAAGCCCTATAAGTACATGCGTTCTCAATAGGCAGTGTTGCCATTCTGTTCCCCTATAAGCAAATACGTTTAAATTACCTATACGGAGGGTACCGCTTAAATTCCTGTCCCGATGTTAAAGGATGGCTATAGAATTTCAATGCATTTCCTACATAAGTCTATTCTTGTGTGGTAGGAGGTTTGACTAAACAAGGATGAACCCCTTCAATACTGGGACATAAATTCTCTCATTGCTCTTATGGGGAGGCCGCGCGGTATAGGTAATTTAAAAGTATTTGCCTATAAGTAACTGTCCAGTTAACAACCTGTATATAGTTTATTGGTGCATTTCAGTCGATTTAAAAAATTCCGACCGCAGCGCTCGATACGGCAGAAACCAGAAGTTTTCGGCTCTTATTTCACGCAGATATCAAAATATTTTGTATTTTTTTTTTTAATTTTCACAAATTATACTTAAGCGTTGCATACGTACACGTCGAGCCACACCTATTACCCCAGTTTCAGCCCCCTAGTTCACATCATGTTCACATAGGGCCCGAGTTACGACGCTCCAAGGTCGTTACCACTTTTGTAACGCTTGGTGCTACACTATACTGGTGCGTCGCGGCCTTGAATTTTAACTCCCATCGCGCGTAAAGAAGTTTCACTTCAACAATAAGCTTTTAACACACAAAATTAAGAGTAAAAATCTAAGGCTTTCTGGAAAATCTGGTTCGAAAGACTGCTACCCCAGTATCGTTGGGGAGACCATAAACTCTCGAAAGCCCAAGTTATCGAAAACCCGAACGCAAGCGAACGGTAAACCGAATGGTCCCGATTAGAAGTTATCGAATCTCGGCTCCTCCCCTCGTTATTTGTATTTTAAATTGTAAACAAAAGTCAACGCAATTTGTTTTTGGTGGAAATATACACTAAAATACTTTAAAATGTAAAGTTATCTTGCAAAATTAGAACCTGAAAGCCTAGAAATGCGGAATCGGTACAAACCAAAAATTTAACTTGTGAATAACATAGAAAATAGAAGTCCTTAGTTTTGATATTTATTTTAAATGCTAGCCCAGACTGCCCAGTGGAGTTTTCAAAGATATAAGAAACACGGAAATTATTAGTAGTGTTCACCATGAATTCTTACAAATTTCCAGAAATTGAAAGGAAATAGGAGGCGTGTGTTAAGCAAGATTTTGTAGTGATTATGGAAGCCTAAAGTTGCAGGCCATATCCTTATCAAAGCAAAAAGTAAGGCTTATGATAAACACTTTTTCCCCATAGTTTTTCTATATTTAGTGATTCTTTTAGGTCAAAAATCTACAGCGTATGAATAGTATGTAAACCTGAAGCCTGCAGCTGAGATTGTGTTAGAAAGGGTTTCAACATCAAACTATACTGAATAGAGGTGGGTTGTGAAATCGCAGTCCGCTACTTTGTCACAGCTCCACCAACGTCGCAGTATGTGACTGCTCCAGTTCCAAGAAAATCGCAGTGACATTTCGGAGCAGTTTACAAGTTTAGGACATCTGCGCTCGTGAGTAGCAATAGGAGCAATAGCAGGCAATAGTGTAAATTCTGAAAATGCTCCTAGCCCCGTCGCCCGGTCAGACTGTTCCAGTCACAGTCGTCGCAGGTCGCAGTCGACTGGAGCATAGTATATTGAGTATATTCTGTGTACTGGAGCTGTTGGGAGTTTGGGAACGGGAAACGTAGCAGCGTTCGCTTTTTCTTTCATGAATCTAAATAAGATATTTATGTATTATATATTAATCACAAACAGATGTTTTTGACAAAGGTAATTTTTAACTTGTTAGTATGTTTATTTGTTAGTTAATTTTGTATCTGTGTTTTGTTGTATATCCTAAATCTTTTATTTGATCTTATACATTCATATAAGTTTTATTATTTATATCTATTTTTAAGGTCTGATGATGGCTAAATAGCCGAAACCGGTCACTAATAAAGATTTTTTTGACAGTTTCGACTTTGAATTGAATATAACATTAAGTTTTTACCATGGGCCACCACTCTGTGAAAATGAACAGACTCTTTAAGATATTTATAGCAAAGTGCTTGGTACTTAGAAACACTCAAATTCTTCTGAATAGACTAAAAAAATATAGCAACATCTATCAAACTAAGACATCAGTATAGTACCGTACAGCCGCGATTTTAAGAGCTCTAGGGGCCCGTAGTTCGGAAAAGTTCGAATCTTGTTCGCAAGGGCCCGGGAGGCTTGGGGCCCGTCGGTGACTTACCCCGATTGCACAGACGTTAAAATCGCCACTACTGATCGAAATAAAAAACGGCGTCCAGTTGGCTTGGAAATGACAATCGATAACATTCCCCATAAATTTTACATATAAAATGCCAGCAATCTTCATTTCATAGCTATCGCTGACGCCGTTTTTCGATCATACGATATAAATAAATAAAAACTAGACGATGATGTTGCCTATCATAATCACACCTATAGTCCTGTACTTTTTAGTAAATGCAACGAACGGTGCCGAACAGCCGAACACCGAGTGCGATTTTTCGGAGCAATTAACCTATAAAACTACATTTTTAATTTATAGGTTAATTGCTCCGAAAAATCGCTGCTACTTGTCGCAGTGCTTTTAGTGGAGCAGTCGCAGAGCGTAGCAGCTCCACAAAAATCGCAGACTGGCCCACCTCTAATACTGAACTCTAACCCTGAAAATGTTAATACAAATCCAAAGCAATTATCAGCATGGCAGGAAAATTAAAAGCAAAAGTTTCATTGAAATAATATTGTTTATAAATCAGGATCAAAATTACATTATTTCACTTTGAAAATAGGACCGGGTAAAGAATATTCATAATGCGGAGCTTAACCAGTTGATATAGTTAATAGTTAGTGTAGTTATTGTGATAGAGTGAATGTGTTGAATTAAAATACTTATTTCTGCAGAAAAGCGTGAGCCTAGCTTAAAGGATACTGTATAAATTTCTAATGTTTTTTTTATAACTGATCTTTACCTACTTTTTGTGTTACATCATGTGGCGTTAAAATATTTTTTTTGGAATACTTATATTAAATTCTTTTAAAAATCGGTTTTGCCTTTTATTTTTTCCCTCTAAGGTTTTGTTTTAATATTTTAAATACTTCTTAGCTGATTTCGTTGAAGGTGATACAATTCCTGCAATTCTATCATAAATCGACCAAATCAGATTATAAAATGGTCAGCGTGTGTTCGGCTAAAATTTAGATGTCTTTGTTATTACACTAGTGTAGGACCAGTATTTTGTTATTGAAATAAAACAGAAATGTAGAAAACAACGTTTATTTTAATAAATTCAGTACCACTTAAAGTAGACAACAAACACCAAGTCAAGATATTCACATGTTTATTTTGATGCCCAATGCCCAATTAAGTTATAACTTCTAACATAAAAAAATATCTACCTTTTTGGCAAAAAGAAAACGGTTACTAAGGTTCGAATTTTTTACTAAAGCCTTCCGCTGAAAACTAATTCATAAATATAAATTTCTTTTGACGGAAAACATTATGAAAACATCATAAATCTTAATCTGCCAAACCAGCACTAAATCAAAAATCAATGTTACATTCAAAATCATTCATTGTTAAAAAATATTTACATAAAAGGGTAATTACCCATAAAAGATATTAACTATTACATAATGCTATTAAAGATTAATTTAAATATTTGAATAAAACCTGCTCGTCACATCATAAATCTCTAGATCATATATAATTTATATACAAACACAGTATACAAATATCTTAAAAATGTATTTCTATATATATGATCTAGGGATAAACGTCAAATTTTTGTCTATTTGCCCAAAAATTTGAAAGAAGAACACGTTTTTATTCTGTTTCGGCCTAGACATATCCTAAACGAAGAAAGGAGGAGGAGCTTAGGCGGTTTACAGTCGGCTCCGCACGACCGCCCCCGATACTACACGAAAGTTTCGAGAGTTTGAACTTTCGTCAGGATAAAGCCACCTCGTATCGTTCACTAGTATAGAATATATAAACAAAGCTAGTATAGTGAACACAGCATAGTTTGTCGGCAGTGTCGGCACCAGGCGGATGAAACTGCCATTTGAATTTTGGAAACACGGCGGAGTTTCTGCCAGTAGAGGGATAGATGGCGCTGCGTAGAAATTTCATCTAAAGTCCCTAGATATTCATCTAGGGACTTTAATTTCATCATGATTTTATCAAGTCATCCACAGAGTATAGTTTAATTAACAATTCGTTTGATTCTCTGTTGAGTAATTGGAGTAGTTGGAGTAGTTGAAAAATATAAATATTTATATAAAATGTTGATAATTTAACAGTGATGTGCTTTGTTACTCTATGAATAAATATTGGTATGAAGTTTGCTTTCGCGAGAAACAATTATAATTAAATAATTTAGTAAAAATTTAATTTCTAAGTGACCCGGATCAGTTAGATTAGTAAAATAAATTGAAAAATAAACGTCATTCCATATTTGGCCAGTCTGTCAGTTTCGGTAAAGTGAAAGTGAATGAAGTGAATTGTGATTTGTTTTTATGGGAATATTTTACGGATTTTCTCGAATTTAGAGTATTTTGGACGATAGGATTGTGAAATTTAAGAGCCAAGTAGTTCGATATATAAGATTAATTGATCCCTGTGATAATTTTTATGAAATTTCTCATAATCAAAACAAATTCTTTCAACAAAATGGCTGTCTCAGAAATTTGGAAGATCATTAATTTTAAAGTTTTATTTAAATGAATTTATATCGAATCAAGAATTTGTATAACACATTTTAAAAGCTTAATTTTAAAGGTTGTGCAGTAATTTATGTAAGTGTTCGCTTTTAGATAAATATTAAATAAATTTGCAAAGACAAACAAGTAATTTTAAAAAGATCATTTATTTATTTAAACGAGTATAATCATTAATCATTTAGTTTGAGAATATATTTGTATTTACTTATTTATATATTTTCTATACCCTTGTATTATTTATAAGTTTTATATGTCCTGTTTTGTTTGTAAAAAAATGCTTCGAGTCATCGAGAATAGATTTACTAACAATTTTGTCCCTTGGCGGTATTACCCCCTTGGCTTTGTGTATTATATAACGCGAATTGTAAGATGTTTCTATTTGAATAGGTCATTAAAGTTGAGATTAAAGTTATATTATCAAATTATATACACGTTAACTAGGTATATGTCTTTTATATAATGATTTATTTATTTATAATTTATAACCCCTTTTTTATAATTACTTATAACTGATTGTATAAATTCTGATAACTTTTATATATACTTGTATAGTGTTGAATGTGTTATATGTAATTTTAACAATGTTATAATAAAATAATCAAGTTACAGATTTTTCGTGTTTTATTCTAATTTCAGGGATAATTTCAACCTAGATTATTAATTTATTTGTATCAAAATACATTATTTTTATTTTGTAAAGTGTTTTGTTACAAATAAATTCATAATCTAGATTGAAATTACTAAATATAAGTAAAAAACTTATGCACTGGCAGTAAAGGTCCATTTAAAAATATGGCGCGAACTTTTAGTTCTGCCAGTAGCCCGCTTGGGTCGCGTCGAGCGCGTGTTTCCAGGCTTTAACATAGGAGTTTTCATTTCTTTCAGTTAGTTATTCTATGGTCGGCACCTTAGGTCGGCACAGTTCATAATTGATATGGGCGTCATAGGAATAATTTATATTTTAAAACAACGTTTACCTGATCAGCTACTATTTAATAAAAAGAAAAATTTCCCTCTAGAATGGGTTGTGTGGAAAGGGTTGAATTTAAAATGGATATTCTATTAATTACCAATAATTTAAAAACGCCCACTAACACTCGAATTTGAAACACCCGCTGATGTTTTTTTTAGGGTACAGAACACTGTTTTATCAGGTTAACTTTTTGATACCAACTATGTACCAACCGCGTCACTCTAGTCAATATTATCATATATTTTATATATCATATATATGAAATGAAAAAAAATATATTTTACTATTATTAATTATACAAAAAAAAATATATATCCAGCTACCCCAGTATTTGTACAGTTTACAACATATTTACAAATATTAGACAAAATAAAATAAATTTTAATAAAATCATGATATATGATGCAATGAGTTGGCATCAGTTGGCAGTATTGCACTTCAAAAGTCATATAAGTCATAGTCATAGTCATAAGTCATACTCTGTGGCCAAAAAGAAAATAATTAACTTTTATTATTATTTGAAATTATTTTTATGTATCTAAATAAATTACAAGGGATTTTGTTATTGAGTGATACTCTATATTTACTATAAAGTTGTTTTCTAAACTAACCTTTTGGTCCACAAACATATTTATTAGCATCAGAAATAATCCCATCTTAAATGTGCGGTTAGGACTCATATATATGGTAAATGTTCAATACTTTCAATTTCATTACCTCCTTAAAATAGCCATTAAATTACGCTATTGGCACGTTTAGTTCTAGACTGATAAAAAATGAAATTCTTTAAATCTCGAATTCTATCCGAATCTCAGCTGAAGAGATTAAAAGAGCATAAATATGCTTGCCAGAGTGTTAGTATTTGTGATCAGATTTTGCAGCCTTATTGGAGCTGGCTCGTCTTAAGAATTCCGTTATGGTTTGCTCCAAATCTACTTACAATAATGGGCTTAGTTGTAAACATCTTTACCGCACTATTATTGGTTGCGTAAGTCTTATTTAGTTTATTATTTTATATTAGTCTAATTCTTCGTGTACCATAGATTTTCACCTGATGCAAAACAAGAAGCACCACGATGGACGTGCGCATTGTGCGCGCTTGGTTTATTTATATATCAGAGTCTTGATGCTATCGATGGTAAACAAGCCAGAAGAACGAATAGTGCTAATCCTTTGGGTGAACTTTTTGATCACGGCTGTGATTCGTTATCCACAGTATTTGTTGCAATATCAGCATGTACGGCAGTGCAGTTAGGCAATTACCCTGCTTGGATGTTTTTCCAGGTAAATCTCTCAATATTTGCTTTGTATACAATATATATTTTGGTATTTTTTAGAGTTTTTGTGCTATGACACTTTTTTATTGTGCTCATTGGCAGACATATGTATCGGGAACTTTAAGGTTTGGAAAAATTGATGTTACTGAAGCTCAAATTACTATTATGGGTATTTTATTAACATCTGCTATTTTTGGAACTCAAATTTGGTCTATTAAGGTAAGTGTCGATTTTAATTTACAACTCTTATCTGAATTTAATTCAGTTTACATGATTATTGTTCTATTAGGAAGTTTAATAATGTCCACTTGCACTGTATAAACTTTGTTTAAAGGCTAAACAGTGATTAACTATATAATATCTTATTATAGTTAATCACTGTTTAGCCTTTAAACAAAATTTATACAAACGGTGCAAGTGGACATAAGTCTTTAATTTGTGCCCACTAGTAAAGAAATATTGGTTTGTTCCAAGTTTTAAACATTTTGTTTAATCTATTGAGTTTATTAAATAATATACCTAGGTATATCTAGTTGCAATGCTAAGAAATGTTTAAATCTATTTTTTTATTATATCATTTTAAGAGTCTTATTGATTGAAAATGCATTATGACAATCTGTTGAAGCTCCAGATTATGACACAATCAGTATCAAAGACAAATTTCATGCAAATCAATAAAAGAAAAATAAATCTTATACGATACTACAGACTTTCTCTGTGAAACTACTTAACTTTAAAGCAGCAATATGGTTTTCACATTTTTTTTTAATTCTGGAGTATTTTTTAATTTAAAATCAAATGAAATATAGTATAGCATGCAATAAATGCTAAAAATAGACTAAGAGCATTCTTATCTGATTCTTTTATTTACTTAATTATGCAAATATAGGTCTGGTGATGCCTGAATTATCCAATTCGTTGTTAAATCTATAAATAAATAACTTTCTTTTGTGGAATAATTTATCATAAATTGTAATTTGCTATGAATCATTTAATTATTCGTTTAGATGAAGTGATGAATCATTGATTTCATCAATCATAGATGATTTTGAACGAACAATGGAAAAGCATAGAAAATACGTTTTAACATTAATATCAGTTTTTTAGCGACACATTTATTCTTTGGTACTTGATTCCACTCAGTACCTTGTTTTGCGGTGGTTGGTCTCTCTACAGGAGCCTAGTAGTCGTATTTACGGGAGGTGTAGGCAAGAATGGATCTACAGTTGCCGTAAGTTGACACGATGCTGACCAATGGCCATCGTTGTCTTGTTTTGGGGTGATCGAGCATGTCTTGGGTTTTTTCACTTATGGTATAACTCCTTTGACTTGGACATTAATACTTTGCTTGTCCAATTTTGTGTGATTATTAAAATAAAACTGAAACTTATTGTATTCGTGATTGTTGCTAACTATCTATTTGATCTATGGAGGGTAGAGAGGAAAGGGGCATTATATTCGTATATTGTGGGGAAAAGTGGTCATCAAACAGGGGACATCTAAGATGGCGTTGCTGTAGCAAAAGTTCTGCCTTTGAAAGAAGCTCCAAAAATTTTTGGAATAGGAAATAATTAAAAAAAATAAATATGCGATTTGTGAAGGCACGTGTTGTCTCCCTTTTTTACTAACTTCACTTTATTTATAACCGCTGCGTTTAGTTTGATTATTTTATTGCTTGTTAACGCCACTGTGGTTATTTAGTCCTAGCGGCGAAGTTTCCATTGATGCGGGTGATGCGCCGCATCCAAAATATTGTGATACCTTTTTATTTACAAAAGTCACTGAGATCTCCTATAATAATTAAAATTCTCAGCAAATTTATTCAAATAATTAAATTCAATTTCAATTATTTAATGCGTGTATTGGTCGAACTTTAGAGATAACGCTAAGACCTACGCTAGACAGTGCGATGATGCGTCATCGTTACATCTTGAACGCCGCCAAACGCGAGCCGGGGTCAGCGAACTTTCCGGCAGCGGTTACGTCTCTCGTTCGCTATTTTAGTCGGTAGGTGATGCGGTTTTATAAACACATCTCGTTCGCGGTGTAAACAAATTGTGTATTCGTCATTTTAGTGAAAATGTTTATAAAAGTAAACACTGGTTATGTGGTTGTAAGGCACTCAATAAACTTTTTTTTTTGGCCTTGTCTACTATTTTATGTAACAGATACGTTCACAGCTTTTTCTTGCCTAAATTTAGTTCTTTTTAGGGTTCCGTACCCAAAGGGTAAAAACGGGAACCCTATTACTAAGACTTCGCTGTCCGTCCGTCTGTCACAAAGGTCTATCTTATGAACCGTTATAGCTAGACAGTTGAAATTTTTACAGATAATGTATCTATGTTGCCGCTATAAGAACAAATACTAAAAACAGAATTAAATAAATGTTTATAAATAAACAAGTACTTTCACTAAACATTATCTTTTAAGTAAGAATTTTACATAGAATCTTTCAAGTCCTCGGTGGCCGCGTGGTTTAAAGCGTTAGGACTTTACGCTGCTATGACGTTGGAGCCGTAGTAAGGCAGGTTCGAATGCTAGTCAAGGCGACTTTTTTTAATCGTTTTTTTTTTAATTTTTACATATTTATTTTTACTTTTTACATATTTATTATTGATTAATACAATTTTTAGTAACGTGTTTCTTCATTTTTTTAAATACGCGCATTCAAAATTTCAGCTAAATTGGAAAAAAAGTTTATAATAATATAGTGTCTAATGTATAGATAATGAATGGTAAGGAACCCTTCGTGCGCGAGTCCGACTCGCACTTGATTTTTATTTTAAATTGGTTTAATTATTTTTTTTTAATCTGTTACATTTTTTGTATATTTTATTTTTGTAACACTTCAAAATTAAAGACTTTAATAAAAAATGAAGTAAACTTTATTGTGTTGGTAAAATGTCAATTTCAGTTACTTATTACATCCCCTTCTATTGACGCTACGCTACGCCGCTGTTTAGTGCACCCTTATTTTTCTCATTTTGGTGACCACTTTTTCAAATAAAGTCGCATACGAGATATTTCTCCTTACCTCTACACTCCATAATTTGATCATGTAAACACAAAAGTCAATATTTAATTATAGTAGTTCAAAATGTCCCTCTAGTGATTCTCCGAAAAGCATACTATTTTTTTCCACAATAAAATACACGGTCTGTCCAACAAGTTAGGGACGATTTCGACAGTCGACATCGAAAAAATTATAGAAGACTTTAGAGCTGTCTATGTCATAGATCCGCTCGTTGGGCAGACTATATTAATATTCGAATAATTGATTTTTTTGGAGAAGTTACTTTTTTATTATTAAAGTTGTAATTTACAATGCAGTTTGCATGAAAGGTATTTGTGTAAACAAGATATTTTGAACAATTTTTCTTTATTGTGGAACTAACAGAATTAAATGCCATATGATAGATCCCACCTGAAGGATGCTTTTTGATTTTTTTTTGTAGGTGGGAGCTATTTCGGGTTAGTGGGAGCAATACATATATGTTTTTTTGTGAGTAACTTGTTACATACAGGGTGAGTTTCCTACGATGTTCTCTATGGGTATCTCGGAAACTACTGGAGATCGAGAGTCGGTTAAATGGGGAAAGAATTGCAGTTTTGTGGGGTCATAAATATACGCCTTTCAGATTTTTGAAAAAGTTCATGGCTTACTAGATATTTCGAAAAAAAATTTTGGCTATTTTAAAAATTGTCCCTAATTCCATTATAATCTATTTTAGACAAAAAGTTTTCAGATAAAAGTTGTAGATAATCACATCCCTAATGAGTTTGTGTTTTCCGATTTTTTCTAAATCATTACATTTATTACATTTTATTTTTTTACATTTTTGACATATGACACAAACATTTGGTTTTTTAAATGGAAACCATAGTTGGCCAAAAAGCGCCATTTTTAAGCTTTTCAGCGATATAAGCTATAATATGTTTTTTTTTACAAAATTACTGAGTTATAGCCAATTCATATCTTTCTTGACTAATTTCACTTAGTTGGCATGGTGTTCTTATTTTGTTATGTTCAAACTGATATGATGTATAGCTTATAAAAAAAACAAAATATATTATTAAACGACTCTTTACAATTTGCATTACACAAAATAAATCTTAAAAAAATAATATCACTGCATACACTTTAATTTATTTTAGAAACTGTTCATAAAATCCGCCATTGTTTTGGGTACATAAATGCATCTTTTTCAAACTGAATTTCTAACTATTCTCACAGAACGACCGGTCGACTTGATTAAACTTCTCCTGTACCGCCTCTTCGAGTGCCTCTCTTAATTCATAAGTTCTTTTGTAAAACTTGTTGTTAACCATACCGCATAAAAAAATCTAAAATGGATAGGTCTGCTTTTCTAACATCTTGAAAACAGTTCTCCAAAAAACGTAAGTAACGTTCATCGGTGTGAACGTATCCTCCAAACTGTATGGCCAAGAAAAGTTGAAACAATAATCCTACACGCTTTTCTTCATTTAAAAAATTCATATTTACAATTTTTGTTTATTTTAATTTAAGTCTGGATGTGACAGTTTCACATTTCTGAGAGCAACGACGATTGAACGTTTCCATGGCTAACTAAGTGAAATTAGTCAAGAAAGATAAGAATTGGCTATAACTCAGTACTTTTGTGAAAAAAAAACATATTATAGCTTATATCGCTGAAAAGTTTAAAAAATGGCGCTTTTTATGAAGTCATGGCCAACTATGGTTTCCACTTAAAAAAACATATGTTGGTGTCATATGTAAAAAATGACAGGCTTTAGAAAAAATGGGAGAACACAAACTCATTAGGGATGTGATTATCTACAAATTTTATCTGAAAACTTTTTGTCTAAAATAGATTATAATGGAATTAGGAACAATCTTTAAAATAGCTAATATTTGTTTTTTTTTCGAAATATCTAGTAAGCCATGAACTTTTTCAAAAATCGGAAAGGCGCATATTTATGACCCCACAAAATTGCAATTCTTTCCCCATTTAACCGACTCTCTATCTCCAGTAGTTTCTGAGATGTCCATAGAGAACATCGTAGGAAACTCACCCTATATACCTACCCCTCTACATTTTACAGGCATTTCGTGTTCTATAGTTCGTTGTTTGTTTATTGAGTAATAAAATATATTTTTTATACTGAAGCTATGTCATATTTTGTTCAGTATGCTGTCATAATTGTCTGTTTTCTTTGTAATAATTTTTCTGAACGATTTTTATAGGTATTTTCAGAGTTCACGCTATCCCAAGTAGTATGTACGGCGTTCCATTTGGGGTTTCTAGCCGTGCTTAACGATTTTAAAGATAATTTGAAAAAAGGAGGCAAAGGCAAAAACGGTTCTACCGTTGCAGTAAGAATTTATTTTGTCAGCAGATGTATATTTTTTTTCTTTTTATTAATTGATTCGGTAGTAATAAAAATTGATCTGAATGTGAATTAGTGCTTATAAGGTTTAAAGAATGTTTTTTTTTATTAGGATATAGGGGATGGGTTTGATGGACAATGAACATTATTGATTTTAATTATACAATTAATTGTTATACAAGCTATTTTAATAGATTGTAGATTTGAAGTGATCTTTTATATCTCTGTAATATAATAATAATATAACTTATATAGGGTGACTCACGGCGCGGCGATGGCACGTTAGACATTTATGGAGAACCGCTTATATAATTTTTTTGAAATTTTGGATTTTTATATAAAGGCACCTGTTCCATCTTTCTAAAATATTTTCAGCATTACAGTGTTGTCGTATCATTCGAAAAGTGGTAGAATCTTTCTTATTTTAAATGAAACTATATGGTGACAATTATAATAGAATTATTATCTTTTAAATGGCTTTACTGAAAAAACCAGAAGGCTTAGGTATAGGAAAATGATATATCGTTGAAAAGCAATTTTATTTGGGATTCGAGTTTTTAAATAATATACATAGGCTTGAATGTAAAATAACAATAATTTTAACGATTTTTAGGCAATCGGAAATAATTATTTTTTCTGATTTCCTTGTTTGTTATCCAATCAGTTGATTTAGACAGATCGAATATGTCGACTTTCCTTAACCTTTTCAATATGCAGAATTTATAATTTAGTCAATGCTTATTCAAGATCATGTTTGTATCATATCTCCATACACGTTTAACCAGCCATGATTGTGAGTCAGCCTGTATAACGAGCACTATAATAGACAATTTTCAAAAGTTTGATGAATTTTCTCTGAAC